CTGAAATGGGCACCCAGCACCCCAAAATGGGAACTCCAAACACTTAGATTGGCATTCAGCACCCCAAAATGGGAACTGAAAGCCCTGAAATGGGCACCCAGCACCCCAAAATGGGAACTCCAAACCTTTAGACTGGCATCCAGCACCCCAAAATGGGAACTGAAAGCTCTGAAACGGGCACCCAGCACCCCAAAATTGGAACTCCAAACCCTTAGACTGCCATCCAGCACCCCCAAATTGGAACTCCAAACACTTAGATGGGCATCCAGCACCCCAAAATGGGAACTCCAAACCCTGAGACTGGCATCCAGCACCCCAAAAAGAGAACTCAAAGCCCTGAAATGGGCACCCAGCACCCCAAAACTGGAACTCCAAACACTTAGATTGGCATCCAGCACCCCAAAATTGGAGCTCCAAACACTTAGATTGGCATTCAGCACCTCAGCACCCCAAAGTGGAAACTCAAAGCCCTGAAATGTGCACCCAGCACCCCAAAAAATGGGAACTCCAAACCTTTAGATTGGCACCCAGCACCCCAAAATGGGAACTCAAAGCCCTGAAATGGGCACCCAGCACCCCAAAATGGGAACTCCAAACCTTTAGATTGGCACCCAGCACCCCAAAATGGGAACTCAAAGCCCTGAAATGGGCACCCAGCACCCCAAAATGGGAACTCCAAACCTTTAGATTGGCATCCAGCACCCCAAAATTGGAACTCCAAACCCTTAGACTGGCATCCAGCACCCTAAAATTGGAGCTCCAAACACTTAGATTGGCATCCAGCACCCTAAAATTGGAGCTCCAAACCCTTAGATTGGCATTCAGCACCCCAAAAATGGGAACTCAAAGCCCTGAAATGGGCACCCAGCACCCCAAAATGGGAACTCCAAACCTTTAGATTGGCATCCAGCACCCCAAAATTGGAACTCCAAACCCTTAGACTGGCATCCAGCACCCCAAAATTGGAGCTCCAAACCCTTAGACTGGCATCCAGCACCCCAAAATTGGAGATCCTAACACTTAGACTGGCATCCACCACCCCAAAAAGAGAAATCAAAGCCCTGAAATGGGCACCCAGCACCCCAAAATGGGAGCTCCAAACCCTAAAATGGGCACCCAGCACCCCAAAACTTCACTCCTTTCACCCAAAACCTCACTCCTTGCCCCCAAAATCTCCGTGCCAGGCCCCCACCTCTTGTCAGAGGGGTACAGCTCCACGGTGAGCACGTCGAGCGCGTTCCAGGAGGCGATGCTGACCCCCCCAAAGAGGCAGAGCAGGGCGATCATGGCAGACTCGCTGTTCCCAAAGGACAGGAAGAAGCAGCTGATGCAGGACATGACGCTGGAGCCGGCTGGGGGCACACGTGGACACGTCAGAGCGCGGGGAAACTGAGGCACGAGGTGGGACTGGGCGGGGCTGACAGTCCCAAAAGGGAGAGGGAGGTGGGGGTGACCCACCAGGAGGTCCCCAAAAGGTCACCAGAGATGGAGGTGGGAGGAGGATCAGGAAAGTCCCCAAAGGGTAAAGGTGATGGTGGTGGGTCAAGAGATAGTCCCCCCCACCAGGAGGTCCCCAAAAGGTCACCAGAGATGGAGGTGACCAACACGTGGGAGGAGGATCAGGAAAGTCCCCAAAAGGGTGATGGAGGTGGGGTGACCAACAGGATAAAGGTGTTGGTGGTGGGTCAAGAGATGGGGGTGACCCACCAGGAGGTCCCCAAAAGGTCACCAGAGATGGAGGTGACCAACACGTGGGAGGAGGATCAGGAAAGTCCCCAAAAGGGTGATGGAGGTGGGGTGACCAACAGGGTAAAGGTGTTGGTAGTGGGTCAAGAAGACCAAGAGCCTGGTTTGGGCTGGAAGGCACCTCCAGGACCCCCAGCCCCACCGAGGCTGCCCCCAGCCCGTCCCGTTGCCCACCCAGCATGCGCAGGCGGCCGATCTTGTCCATGAGCAGGGCCGAGACGATGTTTCCAGGGAGCACAGCCAGGGTGCCCAGGAAGCTGACAAAGTAGATCATGTAGGCGTTGTTGTCGTCGCTGAAGTCCAGCTGGCAGCCCTCCTTGTTGTGCAGGAACGTGCTGTTCACCACCCGGCTGTTGATGAACTTGTACTCGAACAGATCTGGGGGGACAGAGGGCCACGGGGTCACCCCATCTCCGTGCACACCTGTTCTGGCCTCTCCCACCACACCTGGTGGGTCAACCACACCTCCATCACCTCCTTGGGGACCACCCTGGTCCTTATCTCCACCACCCCAACTCCATCGTGCCACTGGGGACCTTCCTCCAAGATGGTGGCTCACCCCCATCTCCACCAAAACCCTGGGGAGATCACATTATCTCGACCACCCCAACTCCACCGTGCCACTGAGGACTTTCCTGACCTTCCTCCAAGCTGGTGGCCCACCCCCATCTCCATCAAATCTGGGGGCCACCTTGGTGGATCCTCCCGGGGATCCCATTCCCCCACCTGTGTTGTAGAAGACGGTGGAGATGAAGGTGCAGTTCTTGAAGAAGGTGTTGCTGGAAGTGATGTCCTCGAAGTAACACTCCTCAAAGAGCGAGTCCTCGAACGTCACCGACTTCATCTTCAGCCCGATGAACCTGCACGGGGGGACGGGAGGGAGACCCCCGATGCCCCCCACCCCTGTGCTGGGCAGCCCCAAGCTCAGCAACCCCAGGCTCAGCCTCCCCTCACTCACTTGTCGTTGAAATACTCCCCGCCACGGTGCACCTGGTTCTCCAGGGTGAAGTTGAAGGTGAAGTGCCGAACCTTCTCGCGCGTGAAGAGCTTCGTGCGCGACGCGTACTCGATGCTCTGCAGGTGCTTGATCATGTCCGGGAACCACACGGTGAGCCCGTAGTAGCTGTGGGGACAGGGGTGAGCGGGCACCACACACCTGGGCTCGTCAGAGCTGGCCCAGGGCTCCCAGGGCCAGCCCAGTGATGCTTGTTCCATCCCATCCCACTCGGTGCTGCCCCGTGCCATCCCATGGATCCCATTAATCCCATCCCATGGATCCCATTAATCCCATCCCATCGATCCCATCCCATGGATCCCATCCCATCCCATGGATCCCATCAATCCTATCCCAAGGATCCCATTAATCCTATCCCATGAATCCCATCCCATCCCATGGATCCCATCAAACCCATCCCATCGATCCCATGATCCCATCCCACTGACCCCATCCCATCTCACTGATCCCATCCCATCCCATGGATCCCATTAATCCCATCCCATTGATCCCATCCCATCCCACCCCGCAGCACCTGAAGGACATGGTGAACCACACCGCCATCATCATCAGCGTCACCCGCCGGTACTCGGGCACGAAGCACTGCTGGAAGTTGCTCCAGACCTGCAGAGGGACACGGGGGGTGACAAGGACATGGCAGGTGGCAGGGGGCGCAGAGAGCCCGGGGTGGCCCTGGCCTCACCTGCTGGGACAGGTTGAGGCATCGGACCAGCCAGCGCCGGTACCACGTCCCCGTGTCCGACTGGATCTCGATCAGCTCGTCCTCCCGCTTGATGGTCTTGATGTGGGTGACCTGTGGGTGGGACAGATTGGGGACACCAGGAAGCACCGCCTTGTGCCTCAGTTTCCCCACCTGTTACAGCAACATTCCCCAGGCTGTGCTTTTCCCAGAGGTGGGAATTGCACCCTTGCTGCTGGGGGACACCCCACCCTTGCCTGGGGTGCTGGGGACCCCAAGGCTCAGCCCTAGGGGGTCCTTACCGAGAAGACCCTCTCGGGGTGGCCCTTGGCCCTCATGTTGGTGTCATGGACCTGCTTCAGCACCATCCAGGCCTCGTCGTGCTTCCCGTTCTGTGAGGGCAGGGACAGGTCACCCTGGGACACCCCAAACTGGACCCTGACCCCCCATCAGGGGTCCCTGCCTGGGTTCCACCACCCACCTGGGTCCTGCCACCCCCCCGGCGATCCCTCCCCCATCTTCATCACCTCCTCAGGGTCCCCCCCATCCCTCTGGGTCCCATCACCCACTTGGGAAGTTCCTGCCCCGTTCCACCCCTCTCCAAAACCCATCTGGGGCTTCCTGTCCAGGCCTCACCACCCCCTGGGCGTCCCCTCCAGGTCCCTGATGCACCCCCGGTTCCCCGAACGCCCCCCCAGACCCCACCTCCAGGTAGAAGCGCGGGCTCTCCGGCATGGTGGTGAGCGCCCCGATGGCGAAGACCGAGGGGAAGGCGCAGACGAGGACAAAAACCCTCCAGCTGTGGAATTGGTACGCAGAGCCCATCTGGAAGCTCCAGCCTGGACAGGGACAGGACACGGCGGTGGGGCCGAGCCCCGGCGCACCCCCTGCGTGCCACCAGCCCAGGGCTCCTACCGTAGTGGGGGATGATGGCCCAGGCCATGGCGGAAGCGTAGATGCCCCCGATCATCCAGAACATGCAGAGCCAGCTCAGGTGCTCCCCGCGCTTCTCCTGCGCCAGGAACTCCGAGAAGTAGGAGAAGACGATGGGGATGGAGCCGCCGATGCTGGGGATGGAGGGGAGGGAGCGGCGTCACCCCCTGCCCCACGGCCCACCACACACAGCAGGGAGATCGGCCCCCGCTCTGGGGGTCCCTGTGTGGCCTTCACATTTCCTGCAAAAACCCCTTTTGCCAGGATTTTTCTCCTGGGAAGCTGAGAAGCCTCAGGGGAAAAGGAAAGCAGTAATTATCTGATTTGCTTCTCCCGTGTTTTGCTGCTTTGGAATGGGTTTGGAGATCGTTTACCCACAGGTGATCGTTTCGTTGCTTTCACGTGAATTGTTTTGACTCAATGGCCAATCAGTGCCAAGCCGTGTCAGGACTCTGGAGAGAGTCACGAGCTTTCATTGTCATCTTTTTAACCTTCTGTAAGTATCCTCTCTGTGTTCTTTAGCATACAGAAAGGATACTTTAGTATAGTTTAGTTTAGCATAGTATAGTTAATATATAGTAGAGTTTACCATTCCTTAGTATAGTTTAGTTTAGCATAGTATAGTTAATATATAGTAGAGTTTACCATTCTTTAGTATAGTTTAGTTTAGCACAGTATAGTTTATATATAATATAGTTTAGCATTCTTTAGTATAGTTTAGTTTAGCACAGTATAGTTTATATATAATATAGTTTACCATTCTTTAGTATAGTTTTGTTTAGCATAGTATAGTTTATACATAGTATAGTTTACCATTCTTTAGTATAGTTTAGTTTAGCATAGTATAGTTTATATATAATATAGTTTAGCATTCTTTAGTATAGTTTTGTTTAGCATAGTATAGTTTATACATAGTATAGTTTACCATTCTTTAGTATAGTTTAGTTTAGCATAGTATAGTTTATATATAATATAGTTTACCATTCTTTACCATAACATAGTATCACAAAATAATAAATTTCAGATTCATCTCCCCTTCCTTCATCTGGGGCCAAGGCAAATACATCAGCTGGGCCCCCCTTACCCCACGCCCGAGAGCAGGCGGCAGAAGAGGAAGGTGCCGTAGCCCTGGACGAAGGAGGAGAAGAAGGCGAAGACGCTGTTGACGGAGAGGGAGATGAGGAGGCACTGCCTTCGGCCCAGCCGGTCGGCCAGCCCGCCCCACACGAACGCGCCCACCATCATGCCCAGGTACACGATGAGTCCTGGGGAGGGGGGGGACACACACAGCCAGGTCAGTGCTGGGGGACACAAGGACCTGCACCCCGAGTCACCCGGGGGAGGGAGAGCATCCTGGGCGCTTGGGCAGGGACCCTCTCCTCAAAACGCTGGGTCCCCTTGAAGGGAGGGGGCCTGGGCTGTTGTCCCCCTGATCTGCTCAGGGACTGTGGGACATGGGGGGCAGATGTGCCACCAGGACCCCCACACCCACTCCTGTCCCAAGATTGCCACATCTCAGGGATGGGGGGCACTGGTGTCCCCTGGGGTTTGGGGGGGTCTCAGGCTCCAGCAGGCGTCACAGGGAAGGGGGAAGCAATGGAACAAAGCCCCCCGTGGCCCCCCAAAGGCAGTCTCAACATCCAGTCAGCCCAAATTCCTGAGCTCGCTCCCCGCAGCTGCCTCGTGTGGGGACCAGTGTGGGACTGGGAGGAGGATGGTGGGAGCCCTCACCGGGGGGGGTCCTGCATCCCTCCCCATCCCCACATCCCTTCCTGGACCCCACACCCCACGGCCTCACTGCCTCCCAATTCTTCCTGTGTTCTTCCATAGCCCCCCCACACCTTCCCGAGCCCCCCGTGTCCTTCCCCATCCCCACCCTCCTGTGCTCCTCTGCCCCCACGTGTCCCCCTACACTCCACATCTCTCTCTGCATCCCCACACCTCCCAGCGCCCCTCCTGTCCCCCCCACCCACGACTCCCACACCCCCCTACCTGCCCCCCGCGCCCCTCTCCTCACCCAGCATGCCCTTGTTGGAGTCGGAGAGGCACATGTCCTTCTCGGCGCTGGGCAGCACGAAGCCCACCACAAAGATCTCCACGCCGTCAGCCATGAGGGCCAGGCCCAGGACAAAGTAGAGGGTCCACTGGAATCGGCCGTGGCCGCACTCCTGCAGGATGAGCTCGTACTGCTGCGCCAGCTCCTCCCTGTCCTTCCTCCGCTGCCCCTCGCTGTCGTCGAAAGCGCCGGCGGCCGCCGCGGCCCCCAGGCGCTCCCCCCCCTTCAGCGACTCCTGCCGGGGGATCCCTTGGTACTCGCCCTCGTAGATCTCGTCCTCCTCATCGTGGCCTTCAGTGGCGTCGCTGGACACCCCCTCCTCCTCGTTGGCCCCCTCGCCCCCCCGGTAGTAGCCGTCCTGGGGCGCGTAGTCTTCATCGTCCTCCTCCTCCTCGAAGCGGGAGTAGGAGCGCCGGGTGTACTCGTCCTGCACTCGGTCCATGCCCCGGCTCACCTTCTTGGCCGCGTGCTTCTTCACCTCCTTGGCGATGTCCTTGGCGCCGCGGATGAACGCGGTCCGGTCCCGGAACGACTCGTCCATGGCGTCCTTGGGGCTGGGACGGGGCGCTGGCGGTGCAGGGGGTGTCTCTGCCTTGGGGGGGCTGCGCCCTCAAGCCCGGGGTGAGGGGAGAGGGGTGGTGGAGCTACCCATCCGTGGAATGGGGTGTGGGAGGACCCTGGGTGCCAGCCTGGACCTGGGGAGCCCAGAGAAAACCAGGCTGAGGTTGGGTGGGGGTGGCCCTGCGTTCCACTTTGCATTTTTTTTTCCGTCTCAGATGGAAGCAGGAGGATTTGGGGACCCCCCCCCCCCTCGGTGAAGCAGCAGGTGGGGGCTGGAGTGGGGACAGGCTGGCTCCATGCCAGCCCCCTTCCCCTCACCTGGGGGGCTCCAGCTGCCACAGTTCACTGGGACCCCCCTGGATCCATCCCTTCTGCCCTCATCCCGAAGCACAGGGGGAGCTGGGGGGACATCAGGGGCACGGCTGCCCCTGAGCATCCCCACTCCATCCCCCCAAAAATCAAGGCCATTAGCAGGTCTGCTCCCCATTTCCCTGAGCACCACAGGGAGGATGAGGGGGTCAGCCCCCAAGGGTCCCCAAACCCTCCCAGCACCACCTTGGCTGCGTGGCTCAGGGGACAGGAGCCCCTCAGAGGACCCCTGGGGGGGTCCCTGGAGTGACAGTGACCCGAGTGTGCCAGGCCACGCTCACTGCAGGAGCTGCCAGGCAGGATTTACAGTGGGAAACGCCAGCACTGGCAGATGCTGACCCGGCCAAAGGGGGCTGGGGGGGTACCACGAGTCCCCTGGGGACAGCAGAGGGGCATCCAAACACCTGGGGGTGGCATCTCCATGTCCCCTCACATCCCAGCATCCCACCCCCTCTTCCCCACACCCACTGCACAGAGCCCGGCTCAGCTCGTGACAGGGATGGACCCGCAGCCCCCCAGCCCGATGCTGCTGCTCCTCCACCCTCGGGGGCCGTCGTGACCCCCCCCCCAAGTGCTATTTTTATCGCCGGCCAGGCGGGAAGGAGCTGCGGGCAGAGGGACGCAGCCGGCGACGTGTCCCCCCCTGCCCAGGCGAGGGGACAGGGCACGCAGGGATGCTAAATTTAGCTCTTTGGGAACCCTGCAGGGAGGGGGGCTGCGGCACGGCATGGGCCCCCACTCCCGAGCAGAGGCAGGCAGGTGGTTTTACGGGATAAAACGACAAATCCCCCCCCCTTGTCGTCCCCTCTGGCTGCAGGGAGACCCCAGTCCCCTCCCCAGGGCTCCTGGAAGGGGCCGATCCATGAGCAAGGTCATTTTGCTCCAGCCAGGTTCGCGCTTCCCTTCGGAACCTCCCCGTGTGGGGCCGGCATTCCACAGCCCGGGAGGTGCTGGGGGGCCCGGGAGGAGGAATGGGGGAGCACGGAGAGGCCGGGTGCACGGTGAGGAAGAGGATGGGCTGGGGGAGCAAGGTCACGGCTGGCTCGGTGGCAGAGAGCGGCCGTACAAACCAGGGAGCCGCGAGCGGCCGAGCCGACGCCAGGAGCCAGAGCTGGCTGAGATCGGGGGGTTTGACCCCACGAGAGAGGCAGAAATCCCCCAGACCACAGTCCCTGAAATGCGGGAGCCAGGGAGGACCCCAAAAAACGCCCGTTTTGGGGGCTGAACACGCCGCTGGCCCTGCAGCCCCGTCGTGCCGTTGGACAGCTCTGGACAAGGTTATGGGGTCTGGATCTGTCTCCTCCTGCCACGCATCCAAGAGGAGCCGAGGATCGATGCAACCGTGCACCCCAAAACCCCCGGGAGTCCCACGCTGGGGGGGCTGCATTCCCCCCTCACCCCCCCGCAGCCCCCAGCCTCCCTGCGGAACGCCAGGAACATGGCGACACGGGGGAAGAGTTGGGAATCGCTCATGTCCAAGGTCACCCCCCAACATCCCCCCCTGCTACCCCTTCCCCAAAAACCCCCCGGTCGCCCCCTCCCATCCCTGCGGCGAATTCCCGATCCCCTCCGGCTGCTCTGCGGCCACAGGCGCGGGGGGAGGGATGAGAGGATCCCCCAAAAACGCACATCCAAAGGCAGAGCCGGGCTCCGGAGAAGGTTTTCCAGGACAAAATGGCCACAGCAAGTGGGGAAAGGGAAGCCGAACCCCGAATCCACCAGCGAGGACGCCGATTAGCGCCGCGGGGAGGGGGGATGCGGGGTATAAACCCATTTTGTTCCCCCTTACCTGGCTCAGCCCTCTCCAGCTCCTTCCCGGTGCCGGCGAGGGGGATGCTCCGGCGAGGAAGGATGCTCGGGGAAGGGATGCGGAGAGGAAAAAGAGGATGCTCCGGCAGCGAAACGGAGAGACGGGAGCTCCCGGGTACCGGCGCTACCGCCGCAGCCTCCGCCGCACACACGGAGCGCTGGGAGAGTCCATCGGCGCAGCCCCGGGAAGGGAGGGATCAACCGCGGCACGCGGAGAACCGGGGGGGCTCGGCGGGGGCGGGGGGCTCGGCCCACCCCGGGGCGGCGGGGGGGAGCGATGGATCTCCCGGGATGCGCAAGCGGAGCTCGGGGTTCCCGGGATGGAGCTGCCGGGATGGAGCCGCTCCGGAGGATGCGGATGGATGGGGGGCATCGACCGGGGACCCCCCCACCCAGACCCCCGGAGCTCTCGGAGAAGCTCAGCCCGCCCCCGCCCCCGTCACGGCTGAGTCACGGCCTCCGCGGGGCTGGATTGGGATTTTTTGGGATCAAATCGTCCCCGCCTGGGCTGGTCAGACTCGGCCCCGAGGCTACAGCGCGACACAAAAGCCACCGATGGATTTTTTTTTTTTTTAGGGAATTTTTAGGGCTGGAGATGGACATTGCAGCACGGGGTGTTCAAAGCCACCCCCGTTTCTCATGGATGGATTCCCGAGGGTGGGAAATTGGGAGCTGCAGCTCTCCAGCCCCAAAACCCCGGGGTGCTGGCTGCTCCTGGGACTGGCTGAGCTCAGACTGGGGGGGATTTGGGGTGCCCCCACAAGGAAAATATTCCCTGACCCCTTCACTGGCATTCCAATGTTCCCTGGGCCACTTCATCCTGCACCCCAACATTCCCAGAGCCCCAACCTTCCCTGCATCCCTGCAGGGAGCTGACCCTCCCCAACTTCCAGGGTGCCAACCCCAAAGCCTCACACTCTGTCAGGATCCATCCAAACCAGCACTTCACCCCTCAGATGGAAAAACAGGGATGGGGACCACTCTGCACTGGGAAGGATTTGAAACCCAGGAGCTGAGAAATAATTGTGATGTTCATCTTTGGGGGGGGGGAAAATACCAAAAAAACAAAAAGGAGGATGGAAGTGCAGGAGAAGGCTGGCGGTGGAGGAAATGGGCAGCACCGGGATCCAGGCTGTGCCCTCCAGGGATCACAGGGAGGGGACAAGGAGTGCCACATCCTCAGGCACCCTGTGACTCATGTGCCACTGTCAGCACAGAGCCCCCGGCGTGTTTTCGTGGGTCATCAGAGGGAACAGGCTTGGCAGCAGGACAGGGAATGGCTCCTCTTGTCTTGAGGGCTCCATCCAGCCCAAAACACAGGGAATGGGGTGAAAACAGGGAGAAAATGGGAGGGGAGAAAATCAGGGCTGACAGAGGACTGCAGTCAGGGGGAAGAGAGGATGTGACTGGGAATGGCAGGGTAACACCAGGGGTGATGGGATAAAACGGGGTGACAGTGGATGCCTCCAGGGGAGAAGAGGATGGTGATGATGATGATGATGATGATGATGGTGTCCGTGCAGGGAGATCGGCTGCCCCGGGTGGATCCTGGTGGCTTCCATGACTGAGGAGCAGGGAAATGCCACCCTGGGGCTCCCTGCATCCTGACAGGAATCTCTGGATTCTGGAGATCTCCTCGGCCCCTTGGCACCACAGGGAAGCCCCATTCCCACAGCACACATCCCACTCCTGACACTTAAATCCACACATTCCACCAGTCCACGTGGGGTTCTCCCCACACTTCTGGATGTGAAGGATCAGGAGGGGCTTCCAGACCCATCCAGACCCCCATCCAGACCCCTGGGCTCCCACCTGGCTGTAGGAAGACAACCCTGGGATGAAGAAGCAAGCAGCAAATTCCCACTTCCATGTCCCCCCACAAACTCCCAGCTCTTGGGGGCTCTGGCATTGCCCAGGGGCAGGAGAAGCCTTTTGAAGATTTCCCAGGGGAATCTTTGACTTTGGCTAAACCTTGGCACCAAAATATTCCACGGTCAAACCTCAGCTCCCTGGATCTGGCCAGCTCAAGAATGGGAATCCAGACATTTCCTTGGAGCAGCTGAAGAGAGCACACTCTTCCAGGCTTACAGGTGGAGCAGGGATCAGCTCTGCCCCAAATCCCTCCAGCCTGGTTCTTCCCAATGGCCCAAGCAGGGAAAAGATCTCAGTCCCAATCCAAAAAACACTTTTGGTTCCCAAATCCTTTATTTGCAAGTGGGTGGTCGCTGCTTTCCATACAAAACCAACAAAATCCAGTAAAAAGAAGCTTGGAAAAGCTTCCAGGGAAAGAAGAGAAACAGGAGATGGGGAGAAGGAAAATTAACACTATAAAAACAAATGAGGGGAAGAAGTGGGGAGGGAAGGGAGGAGCAGGGCATGGCCCCCAGCCCTTGGCAGGAGTGGGAATGCTGACACCAGGGGCTGTGGAAGGATGGGGAGCAGAGAGCCCCCCCCTCCTCAGGGCAGGGGTCCTCGCAGGGGGCCACGAGGGGGGACTCCAGGGGGTCTCTGAGCCGGTCGAGGGGGCAGTGGGACCCTCTGAGCCCGTGGTGCGGCAGCGGCCCGGGGGGACCTGTGGGGGACAGGGGGGTCAGAGCCAGAAGAAAGGACAGAGCCCCCCCAAACCCCCTGGAGGAACACCATCCACCAGCCCAAACCCACCTCCCAAACTTCCCTGGGGGTGCCCACCCTACCCACACCCAGGGTGCCACATGCAGCAGGTGCCCCCCCAGCTTGGCAAACTCTCCCCAGACCCAGGAATTGCTCCAAAAACCAAAAAGGGGCATCCAAACCCCCCCAAAGCTGTGGATATCCCCATGGTGGGGTGCAGGGTCACAATGAGGAAGTTCTGTGAAGACCCCAAACTTCCCTGGGGGTGCCCCCCCCACACCCAGGGGTGCCACATGCAGCAGGTGCCCCCCCAGCTTGGCAAACTCCCCCCAGAGTCAGGAATTGCTCCAAAAAACAAAAAGGGGCATCCGGGGGGTGGGTGCCAGGTCCCCCAGGTTTTGCTTCACACCCCTCCTCCTCCTCCTCATCCCACAAAACAGACCCCACTCACCCATTGGAGATCCAAAGTGTGGCCCCCGAGGGGGGAGCCCCATGGGGGGGGGCCCAGGGTGTGGCATTCCCGGGGGGGGCCGGGGGGGTGGCTGTCCTCCAGAGCCTGGTGGTCCTGGGTGGTGCTGCCCCATGCCAGGTGGCCCGTGGTGCACCTGCATGGGTGGCATTCCTAGGGGGAGGATGGAGTTAGGGGTGCCAGGAAGCAGCTCTGGGCACCCTCAGGAAGAAAGGGGGGGGGGGCCCGGGGTGTGGCATTCCCGGGGGGGGCCGGGGGGGTGGCTGTCCTCCAGAGCCTGGTGGTCCTGGGTGGTGCTGCCCCATGCCAGGTGGCCCGTGGTGCACCTGCATGGGTGGCATTCCTAGGGGGAGGATGGAGTTAGGGGTGCCAGGAAGCAGCTCTGGGCACCCCCAGGAAGCAAAATTCCAGGTGGGTCTGGAATTCCAGTTGGGTCTGGGATCCCAGCTGGGTCTGGAAATCATGGGTGCAGAGGGGCTTCTGCTGCCAAAAAAAGGGTTAAAGAGAAGGGAACACGGAGTTTACAGCAAGAAGAAAGGGTTTGGATGCAAGTGGTGGGAAAAGAGATGGCACAGAGAGTGTGTGCACCCTGAGACAGTGAGGAATCCCCATCCCTGGAGAATTTGGACAAGCTCCCAAAGCAATCCAAAGGTGGAGGTTGCCCTGCTCTGACTGGGGCAGCCAGGGCTCTCCCAAACTTCCTTTCTCCCAATTATCCCATTAAAAAAACACCAAACCAATGATTCTTTGCTCCCAAGCCTGGTTTTCCCTGGCCAGGTGTAATTGGCTCTGCTCAGGCCCTGCAGCATCTGTTCCTGGCATGGCCAGAGTAGGATCACACAAAGCTCCCTAATTAGGGTGGCTCTGGAGCCACAGGATCAAACAAATCCCAGAGAATCATTAAACTGCACATTTCACAACATCTGTGCTGTTGAACACAGAGCTGAGATGCAGACACTGCTCCTTCCCAGGACCACAGGGCCAAAATGTGGGGAATCATGGAAAAAACTGGTTTCATTCAATTATGAATGCCAAAATCAGCTCCTGCCTTCCTTCTCTGCATCCCTGCCTTCCTCCCTTCCCGTGTCCCTGCCTCCCACACCTTCCCAACTGAAGGCAAGACCTCCTCTCCCTGCTCAGGTGCCTCCCAGACAGAAACAACCTCCTGACCTCCCCAGATCCTTCAGCAATCACAATCCCCACTCAGAGAGTATTTCACTATCTTGATAATTATCAAAAAATCAAAAAAATGGATGGTACGTGCTTAATTCCTTAAATGGACCAGTCAGTTAATTAGTTCTAATTCAGTAACAAAATAATTTGTGTTCGAATTGTTTGAAGTGTCTAGCAGGAAGGGAAGGGAAAAGGAAGGAGAAAGGGAAGAAAAAGGACAGAGGAAAGGAGAGAGGAAAAAGGGAAGGGAAAAGTCTGCCTTCCTTCTCTGCATCCCTGCCTTCCTCCCTTCCCGTGTCCCTGCCTCCCACACCTTCCCAACTGAAGGCAAAACCTCCTCTCCCTGCTCAGGTGCCTCCCAGACAGAAACAACCTCCTGACCTCCCCAGATCCTTCAGCAATCACAATCCCCACTCAGAGAGTATTTCACTATCTTGATAATTATCAAAAATCCAAAAAATGGATGGCACGTGCTTAATTCCTTAACTGGACCAGTCAGTTAATTAGTTCTAATTCAGTAACAAAATAATTTGTGTTCGAATTGTTTGAAGTGTCTAGCAGGAAGGGAAGGGAAAAGGAAGGAGAAAGGGAAGGAAAAGGATTTGTGTTCGAATTGTTTGAAGTGTCTAGCAGGAAGGGAAGGGAAAAGGAAGGAGAAAGGGAAGAAAAAGGACAGAGGAAAGGAGAGAGGAAAAAGGGAAGGGAAAAGGAGAGGAGAGAGGAAAGGTAAGGAAAAAGGGAAGGGAAGGGAAGGGTGGCGGGGGGCATGCCGGGGGGCAGCGCTCCGGGCGGCGGCACCGGCGGCGGGAAGGAGCCCGGGGGAGGCAGGCCTGGAACACAAAGCAGAATTCCCCCCCCGGGTGTCATTTCCTTACAGCAGGAACACCAAAAACACAACGCCAGTGTGTGGTGGGTGTGAATCCACGTGTCTGCTTTGCAGAGGAAGAGAAAAATCCACGAATTCCTCACTTTATTCAACCATAAATCAAACTGAGCGGCCACAGGCCACAGCAGGACCCATGTTTAAATAAGGGCCTGAAAATGGGAGAAAAACAGTCACAACCAAGTGTCACCCAAACCAGGGTAAGCTGGACCACACGGTGCCACTTAACGAGGTTTCTAGAGCAGCACACAAAAATTAATTGCTCAAGAATTGTTATTCCCTTTTTTTTTAAGATGCCGCACGTTGGGCGCCAAAATCTGTCTTGGTTTGGAAAGATAGGTGTGTGCTAAGCAAGGCAGGAGCCTGCCCTAAAATGGAAAATAAATAAAATTAATAAATAAAATTAATAAATGAAAATTAAAATAAATGAAATAAACCCTCTCCCTCCAAATTGCTATCAATTCTAAAGGAGGAGGGGGACTGTGGCAGCAGCTCTCTGGCCACAGAGAGCAGGCACAGACTTTCCCAGGATTTTCCTGGGAGATTTTCTCTGAGAAAGCTCAGAGAAAAGAATTAAAACAATTCTTAATTACAACAATTCTTAATTAAAACAATTCTTAATTAAAACAATTCTTATCTCCGTTTGCTGCACCTGTTGTTAGGCACAGGTGGAACGTGTTACGGAGATTTGTTTACCAAAGGGTGGTTTGTTAATTGCATACTGGTGATTGGTGTTTGATTAATTAGGCAAAGACTGTCTGGGACTGTCTGTAAGGGTTACAAGTTTTTTAAGAATATTGTATAATATAGTAGAATACAGGTCAGGGATTAAAAAAAAAAAAAAACAAAAAAAACAACAACAAAACAGAAAAACTCAGGAAAGAGGTGAGAAATGCAGCATTCACATTCTCTGAAAAAATCTCTTTGCCCAGGATTTTTCTCCTGGGAAGCTGAGAAGCCTCAAAAAAGGAAAACAATTCTCATCTCATTTGTGCTCATGTGTGGAATGTGTCTGGGGGCTGTTTACCCACAGGTGATTGCCTGAATAAACCCTGGTGTGAGCTGTTTTGGCTCCGTGGTCAATCAGTGCCAAGCTGTGTCAGCACTCTGAAGAGAGCCACCAGTTTTCATTATTATCATTTTAGCATTCAGTAAGTATCTTTTGTGTATTCTTTAAGTATCAGATATAGGTGTATATAAAGTATCTGATACAAATAATATATATAAGTATCTGATACTTAAAGAGTCACGAGTTTTTATTACTATCTTTTTAATATTCAGTAAGTATCTTTTGTGTATTCTATAAGTATCAGATATAGGTGTATATAAAGTATCTGATACAACTAATTTATATAAGTATCTGATACTTAGAGCTTTCATTACTATCATTTTAGCATTCAGTAAATATCTTTTATGTCTTCTTTAAATAAGTATCAGATAAAAGTATATATAAAGTATCTGATACAACTAATTTATATAAGTATCTGATACTTAAAGAGTTTTCATTACTATCATTTTAGCATTCAGTAAATATCTTTTATGTCTTCTTTAAATAAGTATCAGATAAAAGTATATATAAAGTATCTGATACATATAATATAAATATATATGACTTAAAGAGTCACGAGTTTTTATTACTATATTTTTAATATTCAGTAAGTATCTTTTCTGTATAAGTATCAGATAAAAGTACATATAAAGTATCTGATACAAATAATATATATATAAGTATCTGATACTTAAAGAGTTTTCATTACTATCTTTTTAGCATTCAGTATCTTTTGTGTATTCTTTAACTATCAGATATAAGTATATATAAAGTATCTGATACTCAGTTTTCATTACTATCCTTTTAGCATTCAGTATCTTTTGTGTATTCTTTAAGTAAGTATCAGATATAAATACTACACAGAAGATACAGATAGATGCTGGAGATACTACAGAGAACAGACTCACTAAGTATCTATTCTGTATAGTATTTTTTACCATCACATAGCATTATAAAGCAATAAATTAGCCTTCTAATGAAGAGAACACAGCCTTCACTGGGGCACCCCCGAAAACACAACCGGAATTTGAGCACCAGCACCCCCAGCCCTGCCCCGTCACCCACCTGGGGGGGTGACGCCGGGCCCCAGCGCGGTGACCACGGGCGCGGGCACGGACGGGGGCGGCGGCGCGTCGGCGAACAGCTGGTGAGGCCTGTCAGCCTGGGACAGGGGGTTCTGGGCCGCCAGCAGCCGCTCGGCCGCCGAGCCGTGCCGCTCGCCCTTGGAGTCCTTCTTGAAGGCGTAGGACACGGTGATGGGCCGGTTGCACAGGTACTGCCCGTTCATGGCCTCGATGGCCGCGTCCGAGGCGTCGAAGCTGGCGAAGTTGATGAAGGCGTAACCCTTGGAGTTGCCCGTGTCGGGGTCCCTCATGATCTTGGGGGTCTGCAGGATGACCCCGAAGGCGCTGAAGGTGTCGTAGAGGAGCTTCTCGTCGATCTCGGGGTCCAGGTTGCCGATGAAGATGTTGGCCCCCACGTCCAGGTTCTTGTTGTGGGCCGAGGCCTTGTTGACCCGGATGGGTTTGCCGTAGAGCTTGATCATGTTCATGATCTTGATGGCGTAGTCGGCGTCCTCCTCGCTCAGGAACTCCACGAAGCCGTACCCTGGGGGACCCCAAAGGGGCTCAACACGGCTCAGAGGGGTTTCACAGGGGACCCCAAAAGGGTTTCAGGACAGAAATCCAGAAGATTTCCCCTGGACCCCAAAAGGGTTTCAGGACAGAAAGCCAAAAGATTTCCCTGGACCCCAAAAGGGTTTCAGGACAGAAAGCCAAAAGATTTCCCTGGACCCCAAAAGGGTTTCAGGACAGAAATCCAGAAGATTTCCCCCACACCCCAAAAGTATTTCAGGACAGAAAGCCAAAAAATTTCCCCTGGACCCCAAAAGGACTTCAGGACAGAAATCCTGCACCCCAAAAGGATTTCAGGACAGAAATCCAAAAGATTTCCCCTGGACCCCAAAAGGATTTCAGGACAGAAATCCTGCACCCCAAAAGGATTTCAGGACAGAAATCCAAAAGATTTCCCCTGGACCCCAAAAGGATTTCAGGACAGAATCCCCCCACACCCCCCCACCTGATTTAAAACCCAGCTCATTGAAAACCCCATTTAATTATTGACTGAAACCCCCCTGATTTTATTTTAATATCACCTAATACTTGATTCAATCCCCACCTCATTTAAACCATACAAGTAGGAATGTGCTCCCCCCGTTGATGGAGTGACTCAATTATTCTTTGTCTGCTAAAAAATTTTAAAAAAAGGCCAGAAGTTTCTCTCCTCAATTTGGTAAAAAGACACCTCATAAGGCTTTTAAGATTACACCTCAGACTTAGGGCTGCCAATTAGACAGAGACCAAAAAGTCCTGCCTAATTAATGCACTACAAAAAGAAGAGAACAAAATAAAAAAATTGCTTTTGTGGAGTGTTTAGCAAGAGCAAGAACCTCTCACACTTAGCTCAGTTTTTTCTCTATAAGAGCTTTGATATTTTGCCTTTTATTACACCTTTTTTTCTGTTTCCAACCCTACCTCAAAAACCATCCTGTTACTTTTACGCAGATTTATCTCAGGTGTGACAGGTTCTCTGAGAGCTCCTAAGACCTAACTCCAAGAGAAACCCACCACTCCCGCGGGACAGAGGGCGATCCCCCCTCTTCCCCAGCCCGACCCCCGCCCCGCTCTGCCCCTCGGTGCCATTTGGGGGTCCCTCACCCTGGTGCTGGCCCGTCACCCGGTCCTTGGGCATGTGCGTGTTGACCACCGGCCCGGCCTGCAGGAAGAGCTCCCAGAGCAGGGGCTCGCTGACCTTCTCGTCCAGGCCCCCCACGTACACCGTGGCATCTGCGAGGAACCGAGGTCAGCGCCGGGACCCCCACAAACGCGAACCCCCCGCCCCGGCCAGACTTTAATCCACGAAGCCCCCCACCCCCCTCTTTTTCCTTCGGGAAAAAAACACAGCCCACCACCACCCCGGAGCTCCGCCGGTGCCTCCCTCCGTGTCCCCCGGAGCCCCAAATCGCCTCCAGCGCCTCCCAGGCCGCGCCGAGTTCCCCTCATTCCCCTCAGAATGCAGCCACAGCACCCCCGCGGTCCCCACGCGCCCCGCACGCCCCTAGCGCACCCAAGGCCTCCCCAGCACCGCCGCCGTGTCCCCCTGAGTGCCCGCAGCGCTCCCGCAGTCCCGCCGTGCCCCCGGTGCCCCCGGGCCCGTCCCGCCGCTCGCACCCTGGTTCCGCTCCGAGATCGGCCCCGCCGCCATCTTCTCCCGCTCCCCGCGCGCGGCGCCGCACGCACGCCCGCTACGTGCGTGACGTCAACGCGCAAGCCAGGCGTCAGAGGGAGGGGGCCGGAAGTGGCTCCGTGAGGGGAAGGCGCGGCCGCCATCTTGGGTGTGGGCAAGGTGCCGCTGCCCTTCCCTCTGTCGCGACATGGCCCTTCTCTCGCGACATGGCCTTGCTGTCGCGACATGGCCCTCGCGGCCAGGAGGGCCCTCAGTACCGGAGGTCTGGGCTCCCGCAGCGTCCTCGTCCCATCCCCATTGCAGTCCCCATCCCTCAGCTCCTGGAGCCTCATGGAGGCAGCGCAAATTTAATGGAAACACCGAGACCCCGCAGCGTCCGTCCAGCATCGGGGACCCCTCGGGAGCCGCCGCTCATCCCCTTCCCCGCGCTGCCAAGGCCCAGAGGTAGCCGGGGAAGGCTGCCAAGGCCCGAGGGGTCCTGGGTGGGCTCCGGTGTCCTCAGTGGGGTCTCCGCAGGTTGCAGGCACCGAGCCGCTCCTGGAGCAGCCGCAGCTCCTCAGCCAGCCCGGCCAGGGATGGGGCCGAGCGCCCGCGCTGCGGGGAGAGCACGGGCAGCACGGCGTGGGGACACGGGACACGGGGCAGGGACGGGAGAGGAGCACGGGGGGCAGAATGTGGGGAGGGTGGGGGGTTCATCGTGGGACAGGGACACGGGGCTGGAAACACGGGGCAGAACGGCCGGCACAGGACAGGGTATGATGGATGGACATGGGGTCTGTCTGTCCATCTCTCCATCCATCATCCATCATCCATCCATCCATCATCCATCATCCATCCATCCATCCATCCATCATCCATCCATCCATCATCCATCCATCCATCCATCATCCATCCATCCATCATCCATCATCCATCATCCATCCATCCATCATCCATCATCCATCATCCATCCATCCATCCATCATCCATCCATCATCCATCCTCATCCTCAGCCCAAGCAGCGGAACAGGGCTGAGACCCCCCAAACTGGGACCCCCCAAACTGGGACCCCCCAAAGCCATCCCCCCAGTCCGCAGGCCTCCCCGTGCCTCAGTTTCCCCAGTACCTGTTCCTGGGGCAGCCCCCTGAGGTAGCAGCGGTGCCAGAGGCGGATGCAGGGCCCAGCAGTGCAGGGCAGCAGCAGCCCCGGGGGGGGCTGGCGTGTCCCCAAGAGCCCCCCCTGTGTCCCCTGGCTGTCTGAAGGGGCCACCCGGAGTGGGGGGCGCAGGGGGGGGCGGCTCCACCAGGGCAGGGGGTGGGGGCTCAAGGAGCCCTTAGCCAGCGTCAGCACCAGCCTGGGGCTCCCCCACGGGCAGGGGTCTGCGGGCTGGGAAAGGGGGAGCAGGAATTAGGAAAAATTAAAACAAAGAGGAGGAAAAATTTTTTTAAAAAGGGGAAAAATCCCCTTTTGGGATTTTCCATCAAAGGGAAAACAGGGGAGGAAAAGTGAGGTGAAAAAATAGGGGCTGAAAAAACAGGAATGGGGGCAAACAACAGGGATTGGGGGAAGGGAGGGTGCAGCCCCCCGGGGCAGCCCCACTCACCGTGCCCGGGCTCGGGGACTCAGCAGGGCCCGGGGGTCCCAGGGGGTTCCGGAACTGCTCGCGCTGCTGCCGGGTGTAGCGCCGGCCCCAGGCCCAGACCGGGGGGAAGCTGCAGGGGCGGGGGTCTCCCCTGTGCCCCCCGGGGTCCTGCCAGCCCCCCATGGGCCGGTAGGTCTGGCTGGGGAGCCGCAGCTGCAGGGAGTGCACAATTTAGGATGGGGAAACTGAGGCACGGAAGGGGGAAACAAAGGGTAAAATCTGGGGGTGCCCATCCCCAGTTTGGAATGGGGAGGGTGAAACTGAGACAGAGCAAGGAGAAGGGGTGAAACGGGGGGGTTTGGGGGTGCAGCAGTGCTCCCCTGCCCCTCACCAGGCCGCTGTGGCCCCGCTGGCGCTGGCAGCTGAAGCGGAAAGTGCTGAAGGAGGGGCTGAAGCTGCTGTCGTGGAGCGCCAGCAGAAAAGCCTCGGTGAAGCCAAAATCCGCCGGGAATTGCCACAGGAGCTGCCACGTGCAGTCCAGGAACAGCAGGAACACGGGGGCCTGGGGGGGAATACGAGATGGGGGGGGTCTCACCTCCTCCCGGGGGGCAGGAGTGGGGGTCTCACCCCCTCCCGGGGGGCAGGAGTGGGGGTCTCACCCCCCCCCGTGGGGCAGGAGTGGGGGTCTCACCCCCTCCCGGGGGGCAGGAGTGGGGGTCTCACCCCCCCCCGGGGGGCAGGAGTGGGGGTCTCACCTCCTCCCGGGGGCTGTCCTGGCCCAGCAGCCCCAGCCGGTGTGGGAAGGGGTGCCCGGCTGCCACCCACTCCCTCTGCACCAGGCTCTGGAAGCCGGGCAGGGAGCGGGCGTGGGGGTCCCCCAGGAGCTGCACCAGAGAGGCCAGGAGGCAGTTCAGGTCCCGGTCCGAGGGTTCTGGGGGGACAAGGTGGTGAGGAGGGGTCCCCTCTGCAGCCCCCTCCCCTCCTTTTCCAGCCCCCAGGCTGGTGTCCCCACCTTGCAGCACCACGGAGCAGCGCCTCCCTGCCAGCAGCGACGCCACCTCCGCTGCTTTTCTCAGGCAGGAGCTGGGGGGAAAAGCAGGGGTTCAGGGCACCCCAAAATGTCACACGGGTGGCTCATGCCCCCACCACAATGCCCCCGTCGCCCCACGGTGCCAGGTGGGTTGGGGGGGACATTCCACCCACGGATTTAGGGTGGTTTTTCCCCAAAATACCTCCCTGCACCCCAAAATCCCCCTTGTCCCCTGTGCACCGGACGTGCTGGCTCATGCCCCCACCACAATGCCCCCGTCGCCCCACGGTGCCAGGTGGGTTGGGGGGGACATTCCACCCACGGATTTAGGGTGGTTTTTCCCCAAAATACCTCCCTGCACCCCAAAATCCCCCTTGTCCCCTGCGCACCGGACGTGGTCCAGCCAGCGTGTCCCCTCCAAGGCCGAGAGCCACTTCTCCTCTGCCACTGCACCTGCATCCCACGGGATGAGCTTTCAGAGGGGGTGAAGCCCAGCCCCCCCGGGGGGTTTGGGGGTCCCCGGGGTCCCCCTGGTGCCACTTACCTGGCAGGCAGAGCGCCCGCAGCCTCAGGTGGGCGAGCTGGATGTCGGCCAGCGTGGGCAGCTCGGCCGTGTCGGCCAACACGCAGGGCCCACGGCCCCCCAGCAGCAGCTCCTCCAGGCACCTGGGGGGCACAGGGAGCCCCGGGTGGGGCCAGGTTGGGGGCACAGGGAGCCCCGGGTGGGGCCGGGCCGGGGGCACACCCTCAGCCCCCCACCCCAGACCCCCTGGCACCCACCTCACGTCCTCGCTGCCTGGCTCTGAGGCCGGGTGAAAGCTGGCGGCTCTCAGCAGGTCCCCCCCACCCGGGTGGTGCCAGCACAGGCGCTGCAAGAAAAACGGGGTGAAGCCCCCACATCCCCCCCCAACCAGTGCCCCCCACCCTGCCAGGGCCTGCCCAGGCACTCACAGGCACCCGTCGCTCCTGGAAGTGGGCAAAGGTTCGCTTGAGGTCGTGGTCCAGAAGCCCACTGGGCACCCAGAGGTACTGGGGGAGGCTGTGGGAAGGTGGGAAAGAGGGTGGGGTCCCCCCAAATCTCAGGGGCCATTTCCGGGGCTCAGACAGAGCTGGGGGACCCGCGGGGCTGTACCTGGGGGCCATGTCGAAGCGCTCATTGACGGCGCTCACCCTCCAGCCCGCAGCGCCGAGACGCTGCAGCTCCTTCTCCCAGTCCCGCAGGCTCTCGAAGAGCAGCGTGGTGGACGAGCCTTCCTCATCCTCATCCTCCTCTGGCGGGGCCGGGGCTTCACCAGGGCTGGCCCAGCCATCAGCAGCATCCCCCAGCCACGCAGCCTCCTCCCGTGCCTGCGCGATGGCATTGGCCACCTGCCAGGGCAGCCGGGGGTGGGCTGTGAGGTGGGAGCCCCCCGGCCTTCCTCAGAACCGCGGGGTGCCCCGGAGGGGGGGTCCAAACCCTCTGCACCTCCCTGGCGTACCCGGAACGCCTGCGGAGCCAGCCCGTTCTCGGGGAAGGAGAAGCGGAGCAGGCGGAAATCCCGGCAGAAGACGGCGAGCTCCTCGGGGATGAACTTGAGGGTGGAGGCGGCCGTCAGCACCTTGGGCTTGGAGAAGCTGCTGGCTGGGGTCGGGGGGCGAGGCTGTGAGAGCAGCTGAGACCCCAGAGCTGCCCAGCTCACCCCTCGTGCCCCCCAGGTGTCCCCAGTACCTGCCACCAGTTTGTGGATGCAGGGCAGGGCCACCTCGTCCTCAGAGCGGAGGAGGCCACGGGAGCTGGGAGCCTGTGGGAGAGTGGGGAGGGCTGGAAAGTGTCCCGGAGTGTCCCCCCAGTCCCAGGGAGGGTGGTGCGGGTGGATCTGCACCTGTGTCCCTTGTCCCCAACTATGTCCTGCAGTGAGGAGTTCCCAGGGTGAACACGGTGGGTTCTGCAGTCAAGGAGCCAGGATGGGCTGGGATGGGGTCGGGATGCGCTGGGATGGGGTCGCGCCGGGGCAGGGCCCCCCCCGGGCAGGCGGCGCGGGGCCCCGCGGTCCCTCTCCCGCCGTTCCCGCTGTTCCCGGTGTTCCCGGTGTTCCCGCCGCACCTGGCCGGGCAGGAAGGCGAGGCGGCGGTTGGTGCAGAGCAGCGTCCCCGGGACGGAGCCGCCGCCGTTCCCGCAGCGCTGCCGGGCGCCCGCCGCCTCCTCGAGCACCCGCTCCCCTGCGGGGAGACCGACTCTGGGTCCGGGGCTCCGAGCGCCCCGAGCCTCCCCAAAACCCCCGGCCCCCACCCCGGCCCTACCTGGGAGCCCGGGGAAGGTCGGGCGGCCGCCGCCCGGGGCCCCGCTCATGGCGCAGGGACTTTGGCCGGGCGGGCCCGGAGCGCCGGGGCCGGAGCGGCCCGGGAAAGAGCCCCGAGCGCCCGGCCCGGCTCCGGCATCCCGCCCTCTACTCCGGCATCCCGCCCTCCCCTGGCATCCCTGCCCCGGCATCCCGCCCCTTGGGGCCCGGGATTCCACTCATCCCGACCCCTCGGGGCCCGGCATTCCGCCCCCCGCCGTCGGTGGGAAAGAGGGGGAGCCGGGGGCCGGGAGCTCCGCAGGCTCCCCCGGGCACCCCAGAAGTTCAGCGTTGGGGTGGGGGTACAGACCCAGCGACCCCGTCAGGGACGGGCGGTTCTGGGGTCCCGCAAGCGCTGCCCAGTGCAGGGGAGCCCCCAGACCCCGTCAGCAGCGGGGCGGGAGGGGGCCCGGGGCCCCTCCCGGCACACGGCAGGAGGAGCTGCTCGGTGACTCACGGCAGAAGCACGGAGCCTTCTCCTCCTCCCAGCCCTGCACCGGCTCCCAAGCCAAGCCCAGGCCCGCCGAGCCCCCCGCCCCACACCGGGCAGCAGGTGGGTGGTGGCCCCGGGGCCACCTGTGCCACCCCGCGCTGCCACCAAACCTCCGGGCACCCCAGAGCCCGAGGCAGCAGTGCCAGCTCGCGGCAGGGTAAATCCCGACAGAGCCCAGGCACGCGGAAAACTCAACGGAGCTCCAGTCCCAGCTGGGATTCCTGCTGTATTTCCCCCAGATTTTGGGGGGGGGATTGCTTTGGAGGCTGCAGCTCGTGCACCCCAGTTTTCCTCCTGCAGCAGGATCACCTGGCAGAGGTTCCCGGGGACTTGGAAAAGCTTTTGGCTCTGGCACCTGGCAGATGAGAGGAATTTCCTGGAAGCTTTGAGCCCAGAGATGCTCCGAGCCAGGACGGGGTCAGTCGAGGCCACGGCTGGAGGAAAGATCCTGGAGGAAAATCATCCAGCACAGAGGTGGAGCTGGGCATGGAGTGTCCCCCCACAATGCCAGGAAGAAGGAAAAACAGGGAGCTGGGAGAGAAAATCCCAAGGGAAACTGCTCCCGGGGTCCCACCTTCCACAATCCATCTCCAACCGCCCCCAAAGCTCTTTTTCCTCTTTCATTTAAAGCTTCAGCATTCACATGGCTCGTGCTGGGGTTTATCCCTAATTTTGTCCTGAGATTCAGGTAGCAAAGGGAGCCTTGGGATGCAGCTGGGGAAAAGATCAGCAAGGATAGAGAGAAACAGGGAGGGAAGGGTGTTTGAATGATTTAAATGAAAGCCAAGAATTAGTACCAAAATGGAATCACACAATAAATAATATAAATAATAACCCCCAAATCCCAATAATTGGATGGAGAAGGGGGCGAGGAGCAGCCCCAGGAGGGAACTGGGGATGAAGGAGCCTCAGGTGCATCAGCTGAAGGTTTTTATTGTCAATGAGTCTGTGGTGCCACAACGAGGCCACAGGTACAGCCCAAGTGCAACGCTCTGGCCCTGTTCACCAGGAGGCCAAATATCACCAATTAATCTGGAATTAATTAAAAAAAAAAGGAGTTTTTTTGTGAATAAACCACTGCAGAATTAATTCAGGTCACTCGGTGTCGCGTTAGTGAGACCCAAAGCTGCCCCAGCGAGGGGCCGGGGAGTGGCGAAGGTGAATCTCGTTTAATAAAATCAAATCAAATCTCATGAACGGGTTTTACGCGCGCTGAAAGACAAACTTTTCCTCCACCAGGATCCGATGGCAGCAATTTGAATTCCAACCACACCAGTAAGTGCACTTAGTTTGACCTGGGGGTCACACCACAGTCTCCCCGTGGAAAAATCCCTCCTGGGGAAGGTTTGGTGCTTCTCCTCCAGTTTTGGAGTTTTTCCTCCAGCACTGGTGCTTTTCCCACAGGTTTTCTGCTTTTTCCCCTCTCTCTCCTCCCACACCAACGAGCAGGTCTGGGGGTTTCCCATCCCCACTGGGATGGAGTTAACCAAAGAGGAGAGAAATTCCCCCAAAAGCTGAAGCATCTCCTCCCCCTGCCCTCCCGTGCCCTGCGGCATCCCTGCTCCAGAGGATTTTCCCAACGCCCAAATAAAGCTGCTGCTCCGATTTGGGGAAAAATCAACATCAGAAAGTGGAATTTAAAACCAAGTGTCTATAAATAGGGAAGGGTTTGGGTTGGGTTTTAACCATCTCGGCTTAAAATTTGGGGTGAACCAAGGGGGGGCAGAGCTTGTGCTGCTTAACCAGCACTGCACGTCCCTGCCTGGGGTTGAAGTCCATTGGAATTCCTGCAGTTTGAGGAAGAAAAGTGGAATTTGTTCCCAGGTAAGAGGAGCCAGCTGGAGTGGGTGTCACACCTCCCCTTCCCACAGCTTCAGCCACGCTCGGGGATTTTATAAAACCAGGGAAAACAACTTACACTGGAGTCAAACCATCCCTGGGGTGCGTGAAATTCGGATGTGAGAATCTGCAGACAAGGAGAATTGCTGGCTGGACTCAAAGTGTTTGGATCCCACCAGGAAAGGCCTTATTTGGGGGCATTTACACGTGGGAAAGGCCTTAACTCAGGGCTTTTAGGTCTAAGTTAACATTTTTAGGGCCAAGTCTAAGGCGTCAGGTGATCCCCCAAGCTCACTTCCAGCTCCTCTGCCTCATCCCTTCTCCTGGAAACGACCACGGGCAGGAAGGGGTTGCATAGTTTGATGCCTTCTGGAAAATCAACCCAAAAATAGAAACGAGGGTATGTTGTAAAGCTCTGGCTGAAGGATAGAACTCCTGTTTTATTTCCATGTGATAGGAAATGCTGCACCTCACCTCGTGCAGGATCAGGCCAGGTTTGGGAGCTGCAGTTACCAAAAAAACAAAAAAAAACGAAAAAAAAAACCCCAAAAAAACCCAAGGAATTCTGTGCAAACATCGCAGTGCTAAAGTGAATCCCACCCTGGGAGCCAGGGGGCCGGGATGGGGTCAGGAACATTAGTCACGGGAGGATTTTACCTTAATGTTCTGCTTTTTAGCCCTGTTATCAAAAATATGGATTAATTCCGCAGCCTAAAGGTCAGTTGGTGGCTCAGCACAACGGAGCCGAGTTAATCAGGATCAGAGGTAGTACAGAGTAGCTGTGCTCAAGTAGGAGTTACGTGGGGCTGTGACCCCCCCAGCTCCACCTCAGGACTGGGGGTGCTCTGGGACCCCTTTTCCAGCGGATATTCCTGGGGGATTTGCCCCAGGCCACTGGGAATTCCTGGCAGGAGATGCTGGCCCAGGATCTCACCTCAGCTCTCCTGTGGGCTGGGGGTTCTGCACAGGAAGAGAAACCTCCAATCCCTTGAGCTCTGGGAGTCCCCCTGGCTCCCCCCGCCTCAGAAAAGAGTTTAAAAACAACATTTTAAAACCAGAGTTCAGCTCGTGGGGAGGAGAGGAGAGGAGGGGACAGAGCCCTGAGCCTGTCCTGGTGCTCAGGGACATCCAGGACTGGGTGGGGGGCATCCAAACCACCTCACCTCATCAATGTCCAACTCCAACACGGTGTCGCTCAGTACCAGCAAGAAGAAATACAGAATAAAACCAATGTTAAAAAACTCCATTAAAAGGTTTGTGACGTTCAAAATGGGGCATTTTTGCTCCGTCCCAGGTGGTCAGGAAGTGGGAAGGACCTGGTGGGAGCTGCTCCCCCTGCCCACTCCCAAAGCTTTGGTCTGGTTTATTGAGTTTTTGAGGAATTCTCCCCCCTCACCCTGTGCTCCGACCCGAGCAGCCCCCACTGTCCCCAGGCACCCCTGGGAATCCTTCTCCTCCCCTGCAGGGGCTCCAGGAAAGCAGGGGCAGCTTTCCCCCCTCTCTCCCTCCTGCACCCCATCAATCCCAGCAGCCCCGTGCCACCCCCAGCCCATCGCCTGCTCCCACCTCCTGCCGAGCGGGAGAGGAGCGCGGCTGGGTTTAAAACCAAACCGGATCTCTGTTATTGCATTCCCCACGTGCCAGGGGTCCGGACGTGCACGGGGGGAGCCTCAGAACCTGTGCACCAGCGCCTCCCGCTCCCTGCGCCGCAGCTCCTCCTTGTAACAGCAGGAACAGAAATCCCCAGTCTCTGGGTGTCCATAGAAGCTGCAGTTGGGCTGTTTGCACTTGCTCTGCTGGATGTTGTACAGGGCTTGGCTTCTCATTTTATCCGCAGTTCCTCCCTCGTCCTGCTCGAGGAGCTCCCGGCAGCCGTCGCTGTGCGGGGGGAGGCAGCCGGAGCCCTCGCACTCCGAAGGGAAGGGAGGCTGCATGTCCACGTCCGTGGGGGAGAAGCGGCCCGGCTGGGCAGGCCCGGGGGGGCAGGGGCCGAGCCGGCCCTGGTGGTGCCGGGGCAGGGTGGCATAGGGGGGCAGGCTCCCACAGGGCCCCCCCGCCAGCTGCCGCCGGCCCTCGGGGCACGCGGGCGGGTGCAGCCCCTCAGCACTGCCCATGGAGGGCCTGGGGAAGGTGAGAACACCAGAACAGCCAGCTGGAAATGCAGCTATTTTAGCACCCAGGGGCTGGGGGGGGTAGGTGGGGGGTGGCTGGCAGAACGCGGGGCTTGGCGTCGCCTCCTCGCCGCGCTGGGCACCCGCCTCCCCTTCCGGCCTCTTGGCCGGGGCAGCGCCGCCCAGCGCCTTCCTCTCCGCCTCCTTCTGCCTCTTCTCTGCCAGGAAACGCTCCTCAGCGTCCAGGAGGTACCTCTGGATCATCTCCTCCTGGAACTGGTGCCGGCTGCTGGTCTTGAGGTGGCTGGCGAAGATGAACTTGCGCTCGCCCTGCATGGCGGCGCGCAGGATGCTCAGGCTCAGCCGCACGTCGCTGCTGTACTTGTAGGGGTCCGAGGCCTTCTCCAGGGCTGCCTTACCTGCACAAGGCTTCTCTGCAGGAGCCAAATCTCCCGGGGAACATTCCTCTTTGCTGTCTTTCCGTGCCTTCAGGGATCCTTTCTTCTTCTTCTCCAGGGTGTCTCCCTGCCCGTTGCTCACGCCGCCCTTCACGGCTTTGCTGTGCATCAGGCCCCCCATGTTCTTTTTTAGTTTGCTGCCCAGAGTCTTCCCGAAGCTTCCCAGCTTGTTGGCTACCGAGTCTGCCCGTTTTTTGTCCTTTTCCTTCTCCTTTTCCCTCTCCTTCTTTGGTTTCTCCCTGTCCTTGCCTGCCCTGGTGCCCCCGTTGCTGGCAGAGCTGCTGCACACCGACTCCTTGTCCGAGTCGCCCGAGTCCGCCGCCGAGCGAGCGTCATCGCCCGCGGAGGCCGTGGGGGATTCTGGCTGAGCCAGAGGCGCCTGGGGAGGAAGGAAAGGCAAACATCAAAGCCTAGAAACTGCTCAGGTGAAGATTTTCGGGTGGAAGGTGAAGCTAAGGAGGTGGTGTTGCTTGGAACACAGATGGTGAGCGTGTCCCCAGAGCATCCTGCTCATCCCTAAATATCCCTGTGGCACCCTTTCAACCTGAGACAGTCCAGGATCCTGAGATTCTATTCTGTGATTCTCTGATACCTCCACTCGCTCAAGGTTTCAGATACAAAGCCAGGGAAGAGGGGGGTGAGACTTGTCCCAGTCTCAAGGTGGCCATAAACCAACAGCTCCCATTTGTTTGGAGCGTGGGGTGTCCCTGAGGGGCACCTGGGTCATGTGAAGACTGAAAATGGACGTGGAAAACTCCAGAGAAAAGGTGCCCACGTGCAAAACTGAGTCACATCCCTGCTCTCTGAGCAGAATCAGCCACAATTCCTGTGGGCACAGAGCCCCTCATGAGGCAGAGCCCCCAGGTAAGGCCCTACAACAGCTTCCCTGTAGAGAGGAGGGTTGAATAATTCATAGGTAAAGAAGATCCCCCTGGTCCCTTTACCTGCATGTCACAAGGCAACGTGATCCATCTGACATTCATGTAGCTGTGCAGCAGGTGCAGTTTGGCTTCCAGTGACAGTGTCACGCTGGCATTGGAGGGGTAAAGCCACAAGTTAGAGCCATTTCCCACCTGGAAATATCTCCCCCCATATTCACATTATTCCCTGTGTTATGTGTTAATTGGGTGTTTTCCTACAGCAGGTCCAAGGGCACAAAAGGGATAATTATTTCCTTTCGATGAAAACCCAAAGGGAGAAATCAGATTCCTCATTGCTGGGATCAAAACATTTCTGCCTCAGCCATAGGAAGTGCTGGGACCAAACCATGGTGGGACCTGCCCAAAGCCTCACCCAGACCAGGCATGGTCTGGTGGCCACCACCCTCCCTGCTCCAGGGACCCACAACACAAGGATTTTTGGTGACAAATGGAAAAATACACTTTTTTTGTGCTACTATCACAGGAAATCCTCCACTGCTGCTGATGTCTTGAGCTACACCCAGCCCAGAGCTCCAGGATCTGGAGCATCATCACTTAGGTGTGGGAATGAAGCTCGTGAGATGTCACAGCCCCACCCAGATCATATCAAAATGAAGGAAAATGAAGGAAAAGCTGCTCCATGCCCATGAACAGTGCCATTCCCTGGGCACAACTTCCACCCAGCACAAGAAAACCCAGCTGGGGTCAGGACTGGCCCCTTCACCCGTGACCTCTCTGCTCTGCAGATCACCCAGACCCTCAGGGGAGCCTCACCCTGCAGGTCACCAACCTGGCCAGCTTGACATTGTCACTGTCGTCCTTGCCCCACTGCCACTCCTTCCCGGGGTCCACGGCGAAGTGCACGGGGAGCAGCTTGTGCTCAGAGTCTGTCAGGGGGATCACAGCTGCCCCAGGACACAAATGGCACATTTACAGCTCAGAAGGACAAATGTTCCACACTTGGAGCCAGCCCTGAGCACCCACTAGGAGCGTTGTCACCTCTGATGGCAAATCCCAGTGCCTGGGGTCATGGAATTGTCAGATCATGGAATGCCTCACAGGGAGGAGTTTCTCCACAACATCCCATCTAACTCTGCCCTGTGTCATTCCCCTTGTTTTGTCACCCTTGTCCCAAGCCTCCCTCCAGCTCTTGGAGCTCCTTTAGGCACTGGAAGTGTTCCAAGGTCAGGACATTGTTGTTTTCTGGGCTGACAGTGCACATTGATGGCCCCCGGCCAGCTCTTCCCCCTCAGCACTCCCAAATCCTCCTCCTCACTTTGCAGACCTGAATCTCATCACTCACCTTGATCTTTTGAGTTTTCCTTCTGCTCCATGGAGACCAGGGCAGAAAAATGAGCTTGGTCATAAGCCAGAACCAGTGGAGACCGGTGGCATTTGTTGGCTGGGACTTCCAGGGGCAGATAGATCCCTCCAAAGGGAATTGGGGCAAATGCTGGGAAGAATTGAGAGTGGTTAGTTCTGATCACAGGTTCAAGAGTTCAGAGTTGTTTGTGCTGCAACTGCTCCAGAATGAGCAGTTTGCCTCAACCGAGGGCTCACCTGCAATTATCTGTCACCTCAGGGGACATTAAACAAAACCACAACCCAAAATAGATGTTTATTTTACATCAGGAGGATTTAAAATGTAGAATGAACTGGTATTTTCTATAAAAAGCCTTCCTCTTCACTCCCCCACAAAGACAAAACTTTGCCCACAGAATGATGGAAATTGATTAACCTTCTCTGACAGGAAATTGCAGCTGATGGTGGAAAATCCACCACCCAGGGAATGGAATTTCTCATCTCTAGATGTGTGTGTAGGGGCAAAAGAGGTAAAAAAAAAAGAAAAAAAAACCTTGTGTGGATGCTCTTAAAGCAGCAGAAATTGGGAGCCAAGTCTGGCCTGGCCCCTCCGTGGGCTCACCTGTAGCAGGTCAATTTTCCTTCATGCACCATTCCCACCTCCAGGTGCAGCTTGGACAGCAAAGAGGCCCCAGAAAGGGTGGAAAGGAAAGGTGGACAGCCCAGAGAGGCTTTGGGAAGAGAGGCAGGTCTCACCTTCACCACCTGAGTCCCTCAGCATGGTGTCTGCCACCACCACGATGGGTCTCTTCAGCACGTGGGCCAGCACAAAGACGTGGAACTCCTCCAGGCTCTCGTACACCGGCTCCTCTGAACCCTCCACCCTGAGGCAAAGGAGAAGCTGAGTGTCATCCCTTGGATATTCCATCATTTGCTTTGTAACAACAGGAGCAGGTCTCACAGTCAGCCACAAAAGTGGGGGGACAGGGCTAAGGCTGATCTCAGCATTCATCTGAGGGTTTAGGTGTGGATTGCCCAAATGTCCTGCTCCAAGACAAGGGTTAGTGCACAAGGAACACCCAGCTGCTGCCTGGCACTGCTGGGAGTCCCTTACCTAAGGAGCTGGACAGCTGTGGCAGGGAAGTGTCCTTGGAACAGAAGTGGGATGGCAAAAACTCTCAGCTCTGGGTTGTTCTCTTATTTCAGAGTGAGCAGCACAAGGGAGCACAAGGAAACACAAGGAAACACAAGGAAACAAACACAAGGAAACACAAAGAAACACATGGAAACACAGGGAAACAAACACAAGGAAACAAACACAAAGAAACACAGGGAAACACAGGGAAACAAACACAAGGAAACAAACACAAGGAAACACAGGGAAACACAGGGAAACAAACACAAGGAAACAAACACAGGGAAACAAACACAGGGAAACAAACACAAGGAAACAAACACAAGGAAACAAACACAGGGAAACAAACACAGGGAAACAAACACAAGGAAACACAAGGAAAATATTCACTCCCTGCCCAACCCATCTGCTGCCCCTCAGAAGAGGCCGTGCAGCCCCAAAATCCTTTCCTGGGATGCTCGATGTGCCTTGTGCTTCCTCAGGATCCCTTTGTCCTTCACCTGAAACCCCAACCAGAGCAGCCCAGAGCTGCAGCCCTGCCCTGGAGCACCACGAGGGCTGTGCCTGAGGGAATCCCTTCCCTGCTGTCCCCCTGGATGTGCTCCCTGCTCCGTACCCGCCGCAGCCGCCGCCGTTGGAGCCGTAGTGCACGCGGGGCTCGCTGGACGCCAGCTTGATCAGCTCATTCCACTCCTTCTGCCACTCCTCCTCTGTGTAAACCAGGCCAGACTGGAAAATGGCAAAGAGAAAACCCAAAATCATTCGAGTAAAGCAGTCCCAGCTGCTCCAGCACGGGTTTATACCCACAGCACAACTTTTCTCTGTGGGTTTATGCAAAAACAGTCAACACATTCTGCACCATGTCCTCAAAAGGGCTTCTCAATATTCATCCAAATTTCCCCTCTCAATTTAAACTCATTCCCCTTGTCCTGTCACTTGTCCCATGTAGGAATGTGCTCTCTGTTGATGGAGTGACAAAACTATGTTTTGTCTCTTTAAAAAGAAAAAAAGCCCAGAAGTTTCTCTCCTCAGTTAGGTAAAAAGACACCTCATAGGACTTGGGGGACTTCCCCTCAAACTTAAGGATGGACAGAAGCCAAAAAGTCTCTCCTAAGCAATTCACTAGAAAAAGAAGAGAATAAAGAAACTAATTGCTTTTGTGAAGTGTTTTACCAGGAGCAAGAACCTCTTGCACTTGGCTCGGTTTTTCTCTGCAAAGAGTTTTGTTATTTTGCCTTTTATTAAAACTTTCCTGTTTCCAACACTATCACAAAAGCCATCCTGCTGATTTTGTGCCTTCTAAGGTAGCTGAGCTATCTTGGGTGTGATATAGGTCTCCAAGATGTAAGACCTAGCTCGAGGAGACCCACGTATCAGTCCCAAAACCCTTTCATTCTGCCACAGCTCTGACTGCAGGACACCCCTTACCACAACACGCTCCAGTGAGCTGCACAAAATTCCAAACCCGACAGGAAGCACCTCCCAAACCCACGGGACGTTTTCCCCTTGGCAAAGAGGGCCCAAAGCAGCACTCAGCTGGCTCCCACCTCCTTGTTCTGCTGCGTCTGCTGCCAGCGCCAGCGCCGCCTCAGCGCTTCCCGCTCCACCCCCTTGTCCATCAGGGTGTAGAGGGATTTCCTGAGCATGAGATCCCGGTCGTGGAAGCCCCACATACCTGCAGGGAGAAGGAACAGGATGGTCAGGAGGGGCTAGTGTGACTCCCTGACTCGCTGAGGTCCCTGGCAGAGAAGGGAAGGGGCTGCTCTGTTATGCCACATTTTCTTTAGGCATCCAGGGAAACTTGCCAGCGGTAGCACAAATCAGAATTACACACAAATAGGAGCCAGGACTTCCACTCAGAGCAGTTCTCCTCTATTTGTTTTTCCCCCCACATCCTTTATTTCCCTCCCCATAGCCCATCAGAGGGGGAGAAGGATTGGAGAAGCTGCTGGCAGCCCCTTCCCTTGAAGCCATCCCACAGAGGCCGAGCACTGTGCTCTTGCACAGCCAGGAGGAGCAGCAACATCTGGCTTCCCACCAGAATGGGTGGCTCCTGCCCCCAAAGAGGGATGGTGGGCTCCTGCCCAGGGACTGGTTGGCTGTTTCCTGGGGGATTAAGCCAAGCCTTACCCAGGGAGGCAGCGTGGAGCAGGCAATTCCCATCACCAGTGGTGGCCAGGGGCAGCAGGCGCTGGCAGCTCGGATCCACGGTCACCCACCAGTTGAGACGCCCTGGGGAGATTTGGGAGAGTGTGAAACCATGGCATGGGACTGGGGGGACTCTGGAAGCACTGCAGGCTGTGGTTTCAACCCTTCTGAAACCACGGCCAAGAAAAAACAACAGCTGAACAGGCGGTTTAGACAGGGTGGAAGGAGAACCTGGATGGGTGGGAAGGCACAGAGCCATCACAGGACTGGGTGGGGAAGAGTCAGGACAGTGACAAAGCAACAAAAAGAGGAGATTGGAGCTACAAAACACCCTGAGGATGCCAGGAAAAGACTGGGCTGAATTTGGAGTCACACAAATAGGAGCCAGGACTTCCACCCAGACCAGCCCTCCTCTATCTGTTTTTCCTCCACATCCCTTATTTCTCTCCCCACAGCCCAACAGGCTGAAAATGCCACCAGGAGCACGCAGCACAAACAACTTCTCCAGGGAAAATCAGCATTTTGCTGCTTCTCAGAACCAAATCCCTCCAGTTTCAAGTCTCTCATGGCCACGTTTCCCTGCTCACTGGTTTTTAGGCAGAATACTCCAGGATTTCTGCTGATCCCAGCAGCTTTCCTGCTGCAAATGCAAAGCGACAGCGCCTTAGACTGGGAGTTTTGGGTCATTGTGGTGATTCAAGTCAAGAGCAGCTAAAAAAGGAAGGTAGGAATAAATGCCCAGTGAGCTCAGTGTGGCTGAGGATTCAGCCCTTCCCAAGGGAGTGAAGCTGAGCTGGATCAGGACTTTGAACCCCTGTCTGTGTCTCGCCCTGCCCTCAACATCCCTCCTTGCTGCCCTGTTTTCCAGGGGTTTTTGGATCCTGTGCAACAGGCAGCTTTTTGGCTGGATGAAGCTGTTTAGGCTTCCAAGTTGTATTCAAATTGCTCCTGCAGGAAACCAGCCCTTTCCCATGGTTTCCAAAGAGCCTCTCCTTCCTCTGGAGCATGATCCCTGTCAGGGATCCCAGCACACAGACACGGGATTGCTGGAAATGCTTTGTACAACCTCAGGGAGAGCAACTGGAGAGGAACTCCACACAGAAAACAGGGGTTAAAACATCCCCAAACAGCAGAAAACAAAACCCACGCAGTTCAGTGTGACACAGGCAGGTCATTGCTGCTCCCAGCACCAGGAAAGGGACGTGCCAGAGCTGGAAGTGTTCTGCACTGAGCCTGGGGACAATGGCTCTGTTCCCTCAATTTAGCTCCTGGCACGGCCGAGCTGGGAGCCTGGCCAAGTGGCCCAGGGCCAGGGGTGCCTCACAGGAGCTGTCCCACACGTAATGCTGCTAGGGGCAGCACCTTCTTCTCCATTTCCCCTCATTCCTGCAGGACTTGATGCTCTTTTCCAGAGTTTGCACGTCCAGTCGGTGCTTGGGAGCCACTGCCCAGAGGAGGAACCACATTGAACACATCCAGGCTTTTGGAAACTCTACATCCAGATTTTTCAAGACAGGTCTGGTTTTAAACAAAGTTTTGACAGCCTTCTCTAACACAGTTGTCACCAAAATAAATTCATTCCTGTATGGGAATTAATTGCAATACGTTTCCCAATGTAGTCAGTGTTAAAAATATCATGGGAAGCCACAAGAGATTGGGCTACATTTTGAGACCTTTTCTTGTAACTGCTGTTGTGCAAGCTCTGCCCCAGCCAGGCCTGAGAGGACACACCTTGCAGAGGTATTTCTGTGCCCAGTGTTTGCACTGACTCCAGTTATGCAAGAGAAGCAGTCTCCAAAGGAACCGCACGCCCAACCCTCTCCTGCCGGAGTTTTGCTCCTGTGGAGGCTGGGGAAAGGCCAAGAGGCAGCCCAGAAGTATTAAAAACAACACACTTCTCTCTTAAGAGCCAGCCCTGAGAGCTCTGCAGGGAAATCAACTGGATTTAGGAGCCTGAGGGATCTTCCCACAACGGCCACGGTGGCAACAGATTTTCTGCACAGGGGCAAAGTCCACTGGCATCCAGAGGCTCCCTCTGCATCCAGCACCCTGAGCCTGTGTTAGCCCACAGAACATCCCACAGGGTGTTTGGGGAAATCCCATTGTGTCTTCCAGCAAGAGCCACCTGAACAGGTGACAGCAATGGGAAGGAACTGATGGCTCCACCCAGCCTGAAGGGAGGATTGCCTCATCCAAACCTTAAATGGTTTCCCCAAGGCTACCGGGAATCCACTCTGGCTTCCTGACACAGGGAGTGGCCCAGGGATTGCTCCCCAGGCCTCGTGCTCCAGGGGATCAGGATCTTTCAGTTCTTCATGATTTTTATCCCCCAGTATCCTCAGGTGAGGCACCATGGACTGCTCCTCCCTGTGTGACACAAGCAAAGCCAGTCTGCAGCTCCCCAGCTCGGCCTGATTCCTGATCCACAAGGGTTTGGGTCAAAGGACACCAAGGTTCCACTGAGGGAAGAGATTTCAGCTCCACCAAGACCCTTCCATCCCACTCCAAAGCCATTCCAAGCATTCCCAGAGGATCTCCTTGAAGTTTACAGCCACTTTGAAATTGTTCACTCTGCCACAATGGTGTAACAGGACCTCTGAAGACAGGGGGAAGAGGATCTGAACATTTATTGGGCTAGAAAATGTATTTCCTTAATCCCCTAAGGATGGTGTGTGCTAAATTAATAATGGGAATCCCTGTAGATCACAGCACCATGCTCAAAACCCTACTTGGAATATTTCATAGCTGCACTACAGCCCTTTGTTACAGACAAAACACTCATTTATAACAACCCACAGACACTCAAGTCTCCAAAAGGCATTTTCTAAAACTCTGAATTTCCAAACTCCTTCCCACTAACAGCATCTCAGCACACCTGGAAGTGCCCCCAGCCCAAGGATGAAGCACCCAGCAACCCCCAGCCCCACATTTGATTTGTTTGGGACACAGGAACCCAAGCCCTGGCTCTGCTGGGATGAGATCTGGGGTTTATCTGCACCAGAGCCAGCAGCTCTGCTGTCACCTCACGGTGTCACCGTGTAACGGGATCGCTGGGATCAAGTGCTCATTCCCAAAACATGAGAATATTTCTTACAGCAGCTCCAGGACAGGGAGAAGCTGGGCCCTCAGTGTCTGTTATCCCTAAGGATAACGTGTTTTCTGGTATGTGCAGCACCACAGAAACAGTGGGGGAGTGTAAACCCTCCTGAGATCCCTCACGGCATCCTGCTCCTGCTCACAGGAACCTTCCTGGTGCCAGGGATGAGGTTTCTCCCTGCCAGCATGGATGTCCCCCTCATTTCCAGACCCCTGGCAGCTCTCCAGGAACCTGAGGGGAAGCAAAGCAGGGGGTTCCTCCCCAGGCACCCAGCAGGCACTGACCTTCAGAATTTATCAGCAGGAATTTATTAGACAGGAATTCCCTTTTCTCTGTCTCTCCACAGGACTGGGATGCCCCAGGGGTGAGACAATGCCAGTTTTGGGGTGTTTTCCCTCTCAGCAGTGCACAGTGATAACAGCCCTGGGTTGTTTACACTCAGCTCCCACGGCTGATGGAAAGCAGCTCCTACCCAACCCTTGCAGCAGGTCATAAAAACGATGGAATAACTCCCTGCTGGATATGCACCCATGTGATCTCCCAGTGTGGGTGACACCCCCGTGGACCCCAGCACGGATCCAGCACTCACCAGCCTGCTCCAGTGCCACCAGCATGGACTGCTCGATGAGATCCCGCTCGACGAAGCCGCGGAAATCCTCGGAGTACACGGTGAGGTCGGGCAGCTGGAAGGTGCAGATGGGCATCTCCAGCAGGTGCTCGCTGCTGCTGCCATTGCTGGACACATGGGAACGGGCCAGGGACACGATGGTGGAGCTGGCATGGGAGATACCACGGGACAGACGCTTCTCTGGGGGTAAGGAACAAAAAAAACAAGGTCGGGCAGTGTTCATGATTCCTCTCCGTGTGTGGAGACACGAGGCTTGACTCCATTTCAGAAGGCTGATTTATTATGTTAAATATTATATTAAAATGCTACATTAAAGCTATACTAAAAGAACAGAGAGATCAGAAGGCTACAACAAGAACAGAACAGAATAACAAAAATCCTGTGACTGCTCACAGCCTCGGCACAGGTGGCTGTGATTGGTCATCAATGGAAAACAATCCACATGCACCAATCACGGATGCATTGTTGCATTCCACAGCAGCAGATAGTAATTGTTTACATTTCTCTCCTGAGGCTCCTCAGCTTCTCAGGAGAGGAAAAATCCCAGCAAAGGATTTTCCATAATATCATGGCTACAGGGCAGGAGACCCAAACCCCGGGGGGCAGGGGGGGACATCTCACAAGCCCCCCGGGGGACATCTCACAAGCTCCCAGAGCATCTCCTCGGGCTGCAGGACACTGACCTTGCACCAGGTCATCCTGGCGCTGCAGGGGGGGCCGGGCTGGCCGCGCCGCGTCGCGCTCGGGGGGCCGGGCGCCGCGGGCCTCGCTCACGGGGGGCGGGAGACCCCCGGCGTGCACCTGCCGCAGCTGCTCGAAGTCGCTCAGCGCCGCGCTCACGTCCCAGTTCTTGCCTGCGTGGGGAGGGGGAGCCCCCGTTGTGCCCATTTCCCCCCATTACAGGTGGGGAATAGGAGAATTAGCCCCATTTTTTCCCATTTTTCCCACAATTTTTCCCATTTTCCACCATTTCAGGTGTGGAAGCGGAGGGATTTTCCCCATTTTTTCCCATTTTTCCAGAATTTTTGCCATTTTCCCCCATTACAGGTGTGGAAGCAGAGGAATTTTCCCCATTTTTTCCCATTTTCCCCATAATTTTTCCCATTTTCCACCATTTCAGGTGTGGAAGCTGAGGGATTTTCCCCATTTTTCCCATAATTTTTCCCATTTTTCCCCATTCCAGGTGGAAAGCTGAGGAATTTCCCCCATTTTTCCCAGAATTTTTCCCATTTTTCCCCATTCCAGGCGTGGAAGCCGAGGAATTTCCCGCATTTTTCCCCATTCCAGGTGGAAAGCTGAGGAATTTCCCCCATTTTCCCAGGAATTATTCCCATTTTCCCCCACTCCAGGTGGAAAGCTGAGGGATTTCCCCCATTTTCCCAGGGATTTCCCCCATTTTCCCAGGAATTATTCCCATTTTCCCCCACTCCAGCTGGAGCAGCACCACCCTCACCCCGCACAGAACCCGAGGCACTCCCTAAACACCCGCGGTCGGAAACTATTCCAGCCCCCACCTCCCTCACCCTCTTCCAACCATTTTTCCCCCTGGCTCCCCATCAGCCAGGCTGGGAATTCCCAGCATTATTCCCAGCTTTCCATACCTTCAAGGAGGTCTCTGGCCAGCCCTGGCTCTGCCCCCGTTGAGCGAACAAAATCCGACAGGACGATGTCCATAGCCGAGGCCAGACGGCGTCAGCGGCACCGGATCGGCTCCTCGGCGTCAACCTGGGAACGACACCACGAGCACACCTGGACTGCAGGTGGGAACGAGCTCAGGGGGGGAAGGAACCACCCCCCAAAAATGAACTGTGCTCCAGGACTGCTGGTTCATTCCAGCAATGAATGAATTCCACCGGGAGAGCAACGCTCGCTTTGCTGTAGCCAGCATTTCCCTGGAAAATTCATGAGCTAAGCTCAGTTCTCATCTCTAAGGTGGTGGGGTTTTTCTTTGTAAATTAGGAGTGAATGATATAATAAATGAATATTTGGGAGCAATGAGAAAGCAAGAAGTTTGTCTTGTGCATTTCCAGGGAGTAAATCCCAGCCCCATCCCACTCCAAGCAGCCCAGCTGTGAGGAAGGGAAATGCTAGAATTAGATGTGTTCTAAGGAAAACACATTTTAAAAACTAAAAATAAAAAAAAAAAAAAATTAAACAATCCCAATTGCTCTGGATGACAAAATCAATGTCCAGACAGAGTTCCTTTCCACTCCAGAGCTCCTTTGACTCCAGAGCTTCTTCCCAGAGGGGAACAAAACCACAGCTCTATTCCACAAATCTGGATTTTGTCGGGTTCTGAGCCTGTGGAAGGAAGGTGTGTGCTCCTGCCATGCCTTCAAATCCTGATTTTCTGCATTCCTCGGGGCAGAGAGAGAAAGGAAGAGCAGCCTCATCTGTGGGAGTCCAGATGGGCAAAGTGCTCCGTGGAGTTTGGTGCTTTGCAGTTGAAGGATGGGATAAAAAATTCTGCCATCAAGGAACAGGAAAGAATGGGAAAAGAATTTATGCTGAGCTGAAAATTTGGAAGGAGAAAAACTGGGAAGGCTGGGAGAGGGAGGTGCTGGTGTATTAGGTATAAGAACAAATTTCAGGATTGTGTGGAACAGGAACAAACCTGGTTGTTTTCCTGCTGCCTGAAAAATAAAGGTTTTTTTTCAGGATTATCCCTACAGACAGGCAAAACCCCCCTGGTGCCTTGAAATGTTTTTGTTTTTCCCAAGATTATCCTTAAAGGTGGGTGAAATTCCCTAACAGCACAACTCCCCACAAGCATCCAGACTTCAACCTGGAATCTCTTGGCTTTGCTGGAGAAACACCATTCCCACAATCGAGTTGTTAAGTTCCTCCTCCCAGAAAAAAAAAAACCCCAAAAAAACCTCTGGATTCCTTGGCTGCGACGCCAAAGCCCAGCACATTCCTGGAGCGGGATTTGGCAGCGATTCCTGCTCTCACTCCAGCAATTTAGGGAACATCCCTAATTAGGAGGGGCAGGTTTGGATCCTCTAACCCCCGGCAGGAGTTGCAGGAGCAAGGAGCAGCTCCAGGATGAGAGTGGCTGCGATAACGTGAAGCTTCCCGCAGGTGGGAGTGGAATTCCAATGCAAATGAACGCTCAGCAGGCACAGCAGAGGTTTGGGGAGGGAACAAGAAGCACATCCCACCCCCTCATCCACGGCATTCCAAACTCCCTCGTGCACAAAAATGCCAGGGAAAACACAGCTGGGAAACTCTGGGTCCAAGGAGGAGGTGTTGGATTGTTGGAGATCGGACAGAGGAATGTCCCCAGCCCAGAGTTATTGATTATTTCCTTTCCCTGTGGAAGGGAAGTGCTCTCTCCTCTTCCCTCCTTCCAGAAGAGGTGGGAAACATGAGCCCAGGGAGGAAATCCAAGCCCCAGGAGATGCACAGCTGCAAATCCATCCCCCAGCAATGGAGCAGGCACACCCCAAAGCCCCAGCAGTGCACGGGGGTGCAGCACAGCTGGATGTGATCCAAAGTGAGTGTTCCTGGCACATTCCAATCAGAAATGTGTGCAAAACATGAACTTAGGGCTGAGCCCAGTTGTTGTGATCCCAACAGCTCTTTGCAGGACACATCAGCAGGGCTTTTCACAGACATCTGCCCACGTTTGCACAGGGCCTGAGCACAGCAATGCTCCTGCCAGCAGTGAGGAGTGAGCAGCTGTGCTGGAGTCACACCTCGATGGGACCAGAAGGAGCTGGAGCTTCGTGCACACAGCATTCCATGGTCACACACCCATGGGAACCCAGTGAAAGCTCCATCCCAAAGTGCCAGCAGATCCACCCAAGGCTGACACCAACCTCCAGTCTGCCCAGTTCCAGCCTCAGGAATGGGGCAAAGCTGGGTTTGGTCCATCCCAGCAGCCTGCAAATCCTTCCTAACGGGAATTCAGACCTCTCACACCACATGTCCATCCAAAATGAGGGGAAAAGTCATAAAACCTCCCCGAGCCTCCTCGCTCTTGCTGCCTACAGCCTCTCCCAGGGCAACTCCAACCCCATCAAGGTTTGGGAAGGGACTCACCAGGAGCATGTGGAGCATCCCAGCCTTCTGCAGGCAGGCCTGCACCCCTGACAACATCAGAAAAATCAGGAAACTGAGGGAGGAATTCACAAGGTCAAAGAGCTCAGTGTTTCTCAGCTCCATCCTGGGAGGAATCAACCACTGGGAACACTGAATTTAAACAGTTCACCAGAACCAACTGTGGAGCAGCAAAACTGGATCCATTTAAAGTTCCAGACTGGAATTTATGGGGCTTTAATTCCCTTATTTTGTTAGATTTCAATCCTGCTGAACATGCTGCAGAAAGAGGAAATAATTCTCTTTGTTAGGGCCAAATCCTGACCCAAGGTCAGCCACGACCTGTGGCTCCACTGTGTTTATAAAGACACTTCCAGAAATATTTTAGGAGCAGCAAACTCTGACGTCTCTCCCCCGGATCTGCCACGTGATGTTTTGCTGAGGGTAGGAACCAAGCTGGGAGCCAGGACTCCACTCCCAGAGCTCTGCTCCTGACCCAGCCCCTCCTCAACATCCCTTCCCCACAGGGAACACCGAGCCAGACCCCCAGGGAGCTGCAGGTGAGGCAGGAGGTGCCCAAATCCATGGGAAATTCAATCCTGCCAGACCCACATGGATGTTTTCACTCCCACCAGCAGCAGAGTGGCAAACCAGCAGATATCCAACTCCTAAACCCCAAAACCTTGAAATGTGGCAGCACTCAGGGCTAAGCAGGGGCATCCTGAGGGGACCTGCAGGTGGGACATGGGAGCAGCTCCAGCCTGAGCCCCATCAGAGTAACAATGAGAAAAATGAGCTGCTCCGTGAGCTCCGAGTGAGCATTGCCTGACGCTCCTGAAGGAGGTTTCTGCCTTCCTCCTGCCCCCCAGAACAGTGGGGGCTGTCCCAGTCCCACCCCACATGGCTGTCCTGGCCCTGCAGGTTACCTAACCTGCCAGGATTAGCAGCACCCGTCCTGACCTGACACCTGTGCTGTGTCACTAAGCTCCATCTGCAAGTGCTGGGTGGGACACAGCCCTGCAGCTCCTGCCTCTTCCAGTATGGGAATCAACCCAGCTCCTCATCATCATCATCAACAAAAAAACAGTTATTCCTGGTGAAACTGATGGGGCAGGACACCCTTGGAGTGCTGGGTGGGATACAGACCCTGCAGCTCCTGCCTATTCCAGATTGGGAATCAACCCAGCTCCTCATCATCAGCAGCAAGAAAAATCCAGTTATTCCTGATAAAACTGATGGAGCAGGACACCCTTGGAGTGCTGGGTGGGATACACACCATGCCTGCCTCTTCCAATATGGGAATCCACCCAGCTCCTCATCATCATCATCAACAAAAAATTGGGTTGATTCCCTCTTCCAGGATGAGAATCAACCCAGCTCCTCCTCATCATCATCCACAAAAATCCAGTTATTCCTGGTGAAACTGATGGAGCAGGACACCCTTGGAGTGCTGGGTGGGACACAGACCATGCCTGCCTCATCCAGGCTGGGAATCAACCCAGCTCATCAACGAAAATCCAGTTATTCCTGATCAAAGTGATGGAGCAGGACAGCCTTGGAGCCCCTCAGCCACAGGAGGGGTGCTGTGAGTGCAGGAGGAAGGCAGTGTGACAGGGAGGAGCAGGGATCTTGGGGGACACACGGCACAGGCAGCTGGATGTGGCTCTGTGGCTGCACCTCGTGCTTGGTAGGAGCAGCTCTCCAGGTTTTACCATTCTGGGATCTCCTTTTTAGCACAGCCCAAAAGGACAGCACATAACCCCCACAAATGAGCTGCTCCAGCAGGGCACAGGGGCTCCTAAAACCACGCTGGTGCTCAGGAGTTGGAGCAGGAGTGAAGTGAAAGTTATGGAAGCCATCCCATCTTTATAAAGCTTCAATGCACAGCTTTATCCTGTTTTTTCCCAGAGCTCCAGACACAGCTGGGCTCCTCCCAACCGCCAGCTCATCCTGAACCTTGGGCTGGAGAACACACCAGAACCTTCCACTTTTATCTCCAAGACAGATAAAAGCCCAATAAGTCTCCAACACAAACACAGCAGCCTCTGTCCCACCATCATCATCATCATCCCTCCTGGTTACCAGCTGCCCCCAAAATCACAGCATTCTCTAACGAAGCACTGACAACAAACTCAGTCCTCTCAGCGCCTGCACCAAAGAAATTCCCTGGGAGCCAAGCTCTTAAACCAGGCCATGACTATTTCCAGGCTGGTTCTCTGCAGGAGCTGAGCCTGGCACATGCTGTCCTTGCCTCTGTCCCAGGGGATGCTCCAGGAGTCCCCTCTGCAATCCAGGCCAGGGCAGCTCCACCACCAATTCTGCCTGTTTTCACCCCAGAATGTTTCAGCCCAGAGCTGCTCCTGCAAGGACAATCCATTTTCAGCCCTCTGCAGGGATGAGTTTAGGGTGTAGCTCAGGGCTGGGAGGGCTGAAGTGCCAGTTGAGGCTCAGAGAATCTCCCAGTGCCGAGTGGCACGGATTCACCACAAACACCAGCAGAAAACGAAATAAATCCCAACAGAAAACCCAACCAACCAAGCCTGAAGAGCAGAGTTTGGGTTTTTTAAGCGGTTTGGGCACACAGCTCCTTTTCCCATCCCCAGCTGTGCTCCATCCCAGTGGGGTTTGGATGCTCCTGCCCTCAGCAGGGGCTCTCAAGGCTCTCCCACCTGAAGCAAGCACAGGAGATGCCTGGATCCAGCTGTGTATGCTGCCAGCCACCCCTTCAGACACCTCCAACACCGCATCCACAGGTGGCCACACCATCTCCACTCCAGAAGCTTCTTGAGCACAAAACCATCTTTAAGTAGCTTAAAAATCCCATTTCCTCCCCCCAAAAAAAAACCCTCAACAGCACGGATGTGTGCCGGGTCAGGAAGATAAAATCCCAGCTGGAAGTTCGGACTTTCCAGCTCCATGACTTCAGTGGGCACCAAGGCTTTTAGGAAGCAGGAGATCCCCGGTCCCGAGCACCCATTTCACAGCCAGGAAAGCCCCGCAGCATTCCCGGTGCACCGGGATGCAACCCCAGCTCCCGGGAGGCTCCGTCGTGCCCCTACCGGGACGAGGTTCCCTGGAGCTGGGGATGGTCCGGGAGCTGCTCCTCGCCCACATCCACAGCACGGGCACGGCGAGGCGGCCGGCCATCAGCCAGACCAGGAATCCCCTCTCCTACAGATCGCAAACTCCAGCCTTCTTCCCGAGCTCGTGTTTCGCTGCCCAAAGACCCGAGCCCGCCACAACGGCAGCGACCCCAGCCTGCACCGGGCAGCGGAAAATCCCGCTGATCCCGGCAGAAAACAAGTACCAAGAGGGAAATTATTTGGCCCGAAGTCGCCAGGACCAGGGAAATGTCAGTCCCCGGGGCGCCCCCGAAGCGCGGAGGCTCCGGCGGCGGGACAGCCCGGGGGGCTCCGCACCGGGAGCCCTCACGGCCGCGGCCCCGCAGGCCCCCGGGATGAGGCGGGACCCACAGCCGGGACCCGCGCCCCGCCACCCACCCCGGTACGCCGGGCCGACCCCCGGGAGCGAGCCCAGCCGCCGCACCCCGGCAGCGACACCGGGACCCCCGTGAGGGGCCAGTGACCCCCTGTATGTGGCCTGAGACTCCTGTGAGGGGACTGAGACCTCCGGGAGCGGCCTGAAACCTCCATGAGGGGCCTGAGACCCCCTGTGAAGAGCCCAGGACCCCCATGAGGGGGGGGGGGGGAAGGCGGAACGGAACGCGCCACCCGGAACGCGCCGCCACCCCCGTTCCCGCCCGGAACGCTTTGGCGGGCGCACGCGGCCGTGCCGGCAGGGGCCAATGGCGGCGCAGGGCCAGGCTAGGCCACGCCCCCCCTCGGGCGCCGCCGCGCGTGCACGGGAGCGGGGAGGGCAGAGCGCCCCCTGGCGGCTTGACGGGGTGCGCGTCACCGAGAGACCCCCGGGACCCCGGGGAGGGCGCGGGACACCGGGGCGGCACCGGGACCCCCGGGAGGGGCCTGAGACCCTCAGTATGCGGCCTGTGAACCCCTGAGTGCGGCTTGAGACTCCCATGAGGGACCTGAGACCCCCGTGAGGGGCCCGGGACCTCCATGAGTGGCCTGAGACCCCCGTGAGGGGCCAGTGACCCCCTGTATGTGGCCTGAGACTCCTGAGAGGGGCCTGAGACCCCCATGAGGGGCCCATGACCCCCATGAAGGGCCCAAGACCCCTGTGAAGGGCCTGGGACTCCTGTGAGGGGCCTGGGACCCCCATGAGGGGCCCATGACCCCCATGAGGGACCTGGGACCCCCGTGAGGGGCCCAAGACCCCCTGTATGCGGCCTGAGGACTGGTGGCCAGAGCAGGGGCTGGTGATGCCACCAGCTGTGTCAGGGAGGGGCCTGAGACCCCCGTGAGGGGCCTGAGACCTCCATGAGGGGCCTGAGACTCCCTGTGAAGGGCCCAGGACCCTCATGAGGGGCTCAAGACCCCCGTGAAGGGCCTGGGACACCTCTGAGGGGCCTGAAACTCCTGTGAGGGGCCCATGACCTCCATGAGGGGCCTGAGACCCCCGTGAGGGGCCTGAGACCCCCATGAGGGGCCCATGACCCCCGTGAAGGGCCTGAGACCCCCGTGAGGGGCCTGGGACTCCTGTGAGGGGCCCGGGACCTCCATGAGGGGCCTGAGACCCCCATGAGGGGCCTGGGACCCCCGTGAGGGGCCTGAGACCTCCATGAGGGGCCTGAGACTCCCTGTGAAGGGCCCAGGACCCTCATGAGGGGCTCAAGACCCCCGTGAAGGGCCTGGGACACCTCTGAGGGGCCTGAAACTCCTGTGAGGGGCCCATGACCTCCATGAGGGGCCTGAGACCCCCGTGAGGGGCCTGGGACCCCCATGAGGGGCCCATGACCCCCATGAGGGACCTGGGACCCCCATGAGGGGCCCAAGACTCCTGTGAAAGGCCTGGGACTCCTCTCAGGGGCCCAGGACCCCCATGAGGGGCCCGGGACCCCCTGTATGCGGCCTGAGGACTGGTGGCCAGAGCAGGGGCTGGTGATGCCACCAGCTGTGTCAGGATGTGCCGGGAAGCACTGGCACAGCTCCCACCGACCCATTGCTGGTGAATTTTCCCCCTGGTTCATCTTCCTCTTCCTTTTTTCCTTTTTTCCCAGGAAAAAAAAAAAACAAAAAAAAAAACCCAGGTGGGCCAGGCCCTGGGCTGGAGCAGTGGCCAGGGGGGCCGGGGGCTGCTGGGGCTGGTGGCAAACAGGCCACGTCATGCACACAGCTCAGCTGATCCCGACGTTGAATCCATCCTTTGTGTCCTGCCCTTGTTTGTGTCCTGCACAAAGGGATTGTTTGTGTGTCCGGGCAGGGAAATGTCCAGCACAGAAAGGACAGGCCCAGGGTTTGTCCCTGCTGGCTGCACAGTTTGTCCACACAGTGGATCCTGCCTGATGTCGCTGGTGGCCAGCACGGGGCTGGAGTGGCCCTGTGCTCTGGATGATCCCTGTGCTCTGGATGATCCCTGTGCTCTGGAATGTTCCAGTTCCCCACAGTGATCCCTGTTCTTCCCCACAGTGATCCCTGTGCTCTGGATGATCCCTGTGCTCTGGAGTGATCCCTGTGCTCTGGAATGTTCCAGTTCCCCACAGTGATCCCTGTGCTCTGGAGTGATCCCTGTGCTCTGGAGTGATCCCTGTGCTCCTGAATGATCCCTGTGCTCTGGAGTGATCCCTGTGCTCTGGAATGTTCCAGTTCCCCACAGTGATCCCTGTGCTCTGGAGTGATCCCTGTGCTCCTGAATGATCCCTGTGCTCTGGATGATCCCAGCGCTCTGGAATGTTCCAGTTCCCCACAGTGATCCCTTTGCTCTGGATGATCCCTGTGCTCTGGAATGTTCCAGTTCCCCACAGTGATCCCTGTTCTCCACAGTGATCCCTGTGCTCTGGATGATCCCAGTTCCCCACAGTGATCCCAGTTCCCCACAGTGATCCCAGTGCTCTGGAATGTTCCAGTTCCCCACAGCGATCCCAGTTCCCCACAGTGATGATCCCTGCCCATTCCATCCCACCCTGTTCCCCCCCATTCCTGCAGCCACAGCCAGGGGCCAGCTCAATGCCGAACACACATCAAACCCCACCTCACTCCTGACAGCTGCAGTCAGAACCATTCCCAGGCTGAGCCAAAGGGTTTTGAGGTGAATTTACCCCCGAGGAGCCCTTGGTGCTGCTGCTCCCTCCAGGGCAAGGCCATGGGGACAGGGGCAGGGACAGCTGCCCCACGCAGGGCTGGCACAGCCTGCCCTGGCCGTTTCTCCTCGCAGTCAGGAGTGGAGAATCCATCGCTTTTGAAACAATCAACACCAAATTCAATCCCTTAAAATAGCAGTGCCATAATCCCGGACAATCCTATTGCCTCCACTTAGGGACCAACGTCTGTCCTCGTGCCTGGGCAGTGGTGACAGGCCCAGGGCAGTTGTTGGTGAGGTTAAATCAGGGTTATTTACAGAATTGTACTTGAATAAATTCTTATTCAAGAATTAGAAGGTTAAAATTATTAAGGTTTTAAAGAGGTTATTAAAACTATTAAGGTTTAAAAGAATTATAAGATTTAAATTAAAAATTACAGCAAACGCAGAGGTCTTTTCCAGCCTAAACAATTCCATGATTCCAATCACTCCCACCCCACTAACTGGCCTGTGGGGAATGAAAAGTGTAAAAATTCTGCAGAATAAAAGTTGTTTAAAACATTTTACCTGCAAATCAGGGATAAACATCCCACCAAGAAGCCTCAGAGGTTTGGTTTGTGATTAATTTCATTAATTTAAAACATTTTACCTGCAAATCAGGGATAAACATCCCACCAAGAAGCCTGAGAGGTTTGGTTTGTGATTAATTTCATTAAAATGGCACGAGCAGGGGTTTGTCTTCCCTAAGGACAAGGACAGATTTAAAGAGGAGATGACACCCTGGGTCTGGTTAGTTCACAATAAAATCCAAAATCATTTCCAAGGGAACTGGACAATAACTAAACCAGCACTTTCCAGACACTGAATCATTTAACAATAAGGCCAGAAAACAATCAAATCAGATGCAATTAAATCCCAATTTTTCATACAATTTGCCATTATTGTGTGTATCCTTTAGCCAGGAGCCCCCCACACTCCTTAAGGCATCACTTTGGATATGAGAAACAAAATCAGGCAAGAAATACAAAAATGCAATAAAGAAAATACCGGAGTTGCATTTCTCTAGGTAAATCCCTACTTAAACCACTCAAATCTTTGGGGTTTGTACATTTCCAGCCTCTAGGAAAGAAGCCTCAAAGCGTCTGGAAGTGAAAAGTAAAATTTGGGCAGGAAATGGAAGGATTAAAGACACCAAAGTTGTCCGTCACCCTGAGAGGAAGCAGGGAGCCCCTTAATTGGAAATGAAAGGCAGGACATAGTCATTAATTAATTGTTATCCCCCGCTATAAATAGGGCTTTGGCAGCGGGGGGTGCCTGGCCCGGGCCAGCTCTGTCCTGCCGGGAATAGCTCCTAATCCCAGCCTGCTGCTCCCGGGATTAGTGGGGCCAGGCTGCTCCCCGAGCGCTCTCCATCCCAAATTCGGTGGAACCGGGTCACGTCCTTTACCCCTGGGGACCCTCGGGTGTGCCGAGCCTTCCTTGGGGCGGATCTGCGAGGATTTGCGGATGTCTGGAGTGGGTTTGGGTACATCTCTAGGGGCTTTTTGTGTTTGAGGTGGGTTTAGGTTTGGTTTAGGGTGGATTTAGCGTGGGTTGGGGCGGCTTTGTGTTGTTTTAACGTACGCTTGGGTGGGTTGAAGTGTGTCTGGGGTTCCGTGTCAAACTGCTCGGCTCACCTCGGCCGGGCAAGGACGGGCCGGGGCTGCGGGACCCGGGAGCGCGGCTGGCGGACTACGACTCCCAGCAGGCAGCGGGGCCGGACGGGGCGGGACCGAGTCGGGCCGAAGAGCTCCGAATCGGGCCGAAGAGCTCCGAATCGGGCCGAAGCCAGGCCGAAGAGCTCCGAATCGGGCCGAAGCCAGGCCGAAGAGCCCCGAATCGGCCCGAAGCCAGGCCGAAGAGCCCCGAAGCAGGGCCGAAGAGAGCCGAAGCGGGTGAGGGGCAGCCCGGTAGAGGAGCATCCCCGCCAAGATGAACGCGGTGCTGGCGGTCCGGCAGTACGTGTCCAAGATGATCGAGGACAGCGGCCCCGGTATGAAGGTGCTGCTGATGGACCGGGAGACGGTGAGGAGCGGCTGGGCCGGGAGCGTGGAGGGCGGCGGGGCCGGGAGCCGGGCCCCGGTTCGCCGTGACGGGCGCTGCCCCCCTGCCGCCCGCAGACCGGGGCCGTGAGCGTGGTGTACACCCAGTCCGAGATCCTGCAGCGCGAGGTTTATCTCTTCGAACGCCTCGACTCGCCCAACAGGGAGCCCATGAAGCACCTCAAGGCCATCTGCTTCCTGAGGCCCACCAAGGTACGGGGCAGAGCGGGGGGGACGGCCTCAAATGGTGCTGGGGAGGTTTGGGCTGATATTCAGGAGAATTGGAAGAACGCCTCGACTCGCCCAACAGGGAGCCCATGAAGCACCTCAAGGCCATCTGCTTCCTGAGGCCCACCAAGGTACGGGGCAGAGCGGGGGGGACGGCCTCAAATGGTGCTGGGGAGGTTTGGGCTGATATTCAGGAGAATTCCTAAATGGAAAGGGTTGTTCAGCCCTGGCACAGTGAAGCCACAGTGCCCGGAATTGTTCAAATCCGTGTGGATGTGGCAGTTGGGACGGGGGTCCGTGGTGGCCTTGGCAGTGCTGGGGGAATGGCTGGACACCAAGATCTCAGAGGCTTTTCCATGATTCCATGATTCCTTATTCCTTAACTCTGCTCTCCCTGGTGCTGTTTCCATCCAGGAGAACGTGGAGCTCCTGGTGCAGGAGCTGCGAAGGCCCAAGTACAGCGTCTACTTCATCTGTGAGTATGAAGAGCCCAGGGCTCCTGGAGCTCCATAAATCTGGGACAGGCTCCCAGCGTGGATGGGACAGGCTCCACACCTCAGTGCACCTTCCTGTGCCAGGCAGGGGCTCCCCACCTGTCCTGCTCGTGTTCCGTGGGTTTGGGAATGAGGCAGAATGACTCCAGCTGCTCTGGGGTTGAAGTGCAGTCCCACAGGGCAGGAATTAATCTGTGAGGTTGCCAGGAACTGGGTGAAGTGGCCTCTAGATGTCATCGTGGCTCTGCAGGACGCTGGGGAGATGGGCAGGGAGCATCCCTGGGAGGTGGCTCAGGATTCCAGCACCTGCAGGGTTAGAGGGTCTCTGTGGGGTCTGCTCCTGCTCCAGAGGGGATCACACTGCCATCCCACATGGAGCCCCGCTGTCCCTTCCCCGTCTCCTCCCAGATTTCAGCAACGTCATCAGCAAGAGCGATGTGAAGGCCTTGGCTGAGGCTGACGAGCAGGAGGTCGTGGCTGAAGTCCAGGTGAAGTCTGGATGTTTTAGGGAGATCCAAACTCAGAAAGGGAAGGTCCGGGCTGCCAGACACTGGGAGCAGGAGGGCTGTTCCCAACTGGTGCATGGCAGGCCTGGGTGGGAGGAGGGATGGACACAAATGTGGGATGAAGAGGTAAAAGACAGAAAAGGTGCCATTTCTCTGTGCCCTGGGCTCTCACAGCTGCTGCTGGTTTTGGTGTCTCACAAGGTGCTGCCTGGTTCAAATCCATGTGGATGTGGCACTTGGGGACACGGGTTAGTGGTGGCCTTGGCAGTGCTGGAGGGACTCTGGTCTCAGAGGGCTTTTCCAAAGTGGGAAATTCCACGATTCCATCTTTGTGGTGCTGATGAGGAGCTGGGCACTGGAGCAATGCACAGTACCCACGGGAGGGGAGTTGTCAGCGGGGTTTGGGGTGCAGGAAGGCAGGGTGGTCTGAGGCACTGTGTGCAGGGGGTGGTGGGAGCTGGGTGGGCAGTGCTGGCCCATGGCTGTGCCTGGGGTCAGGGTCAGACACACAGGACTGTCCTGCTCCCCTCCCCAGGAGTTCTACGGCGACTACATTGCAGTGAACCCACACGTGTTCTCCCTGAACCTGCTGGGCTGCTGTCGGGTAGGAGCACGGCGAGTTGGCCTTGCTTTGGGTAACGTGTGGCTCTTGGGGTGACGGGGGGCTGCTGGGGGGGGAATGGGCCTTGGCAAGGAGATTTTGTGTTCAGCCCCTGGGTGCCTGCTGCTCCAGCACAGCTGTGCTTTCCTGAGAGACTTCAGGACTTGGAAACAAAGATGTGGGAAGTTTAGGAACTGCAGTGGGGTGCAGCCTTTCCTTCCAGGGGCGCAGCTGGGACCCGGCTCAGCTCACCAGGACAACCCAGGGGCTCACTGCTCTGCTGCTGTCCCTGAAGAAGTGTCCCATGATCCGCTACCAGCTCTCCTCAGAGCCGGCGAAGCGCTTGGCCGAGTGCGTGAAGGTGAGAGCAGCCCACATCCCTTTTGGACCAGTTCAGTCTTGGTTAGTTTTTGACATGTGGAGGGAAACAACTGTTTGGTAAATTCCTGTAAATTCCATTAGTTACTTCGAGGCCCAGCACTGGGCAGGTCATGTCCTGCTCTGCTCCCAGCACGGCATTCCTGGGAGCAGTGTCCCACTTCCCTGGGGCCTTCATCTCCTCCCTGGCAGTGCAGACAAAGCAGCACAGTTGGGCTTTCACCCTCCCTTCCCTTTGTGCCTGAGAGGGAGCCTTTTCCAGGCCTTCAAGTGGGATTTTTCCCATTTTTTGCCCCGTTTCTGCACAGCAAGTGATCACGAAGGAGTACGAGCTGTTTGATTTCCGGCGCACCGAGGTCCCTCCCCTGCTCCTCATCCTGGACCGCTCGGACGATGCCATCACCCCCCTGCTGAACCAGGTGAGTCCCAGCCAGCTGTGCCAGGCTGGGCAGGGCTGGGAGTCCTGCAGCAGCTGGAGTTCTGCCCCTGGCAGGTTGGATGTAGGAGAGAAAAGTATTGCTTCCCACCCCCAGTCCCTGCAAAACTCTTCTTTTATTCCCTAGCTAAGTTTTCCAGACCTGAGTGGGGGTTGTTTGTGCTGACTTCAGTGGCAGATGGACCCAGCACCCTGGGAAACAGGGCCACCAGCACTTCCATGTGGCTTCTGGAGCCCCAGTGCTTTGCAGGGCCTTTCCCAAGGGTTGTTTGTGGGGCTGTGGGCAGCACAGGGCTGTCGAGTGACCTTGCCCTGCTGAGTCTCCCTCTGTTATTGATGGCTGCTGGATTTGCTGGGAGCTGTTGGATTTATTTGTTCCATGCTGTGCTGCAGATCCTGGCAGGATCTGTTGTGGTCTCCCTTCGTTTCTGTGGGTTCCCTTGGAACCTGAGGATCAGGAGTTGCACCTGGGTGGGATCAGCAGCCCCAGAGGTGCTGTAACACCGGTTCTGCAGGAGCTGGGGGTGACATCTGTGTCACAGAGGGGTGTGGCTGTCACAGCCCAGCCCACACCTGGTTTGTGGTGTTTAGGATTGTGCTCAGCATCAGGCATTATCTGCTGTTTCAGGATTTCCTATCCCAAAGAGATTCCCTGGGATGTAAATGGAGTGTTGGGCACGGCAGGGCTCTGATCAGCTGTCACTGTTCTCTCTGGGTTATTATTAGACTTCTCAGGATAAAAATAGAAACTCCTGATGTGCAGAAATTCTCCTGCCAGTGGAGCATGGAGGGAATTCTGCAGTGGAACTGGGGGACCTCTCCCTTCCTGGGCAGAAAATTGGGGGGTTTGATGGCAACCAAAGTGTTGGAACAGGAATATGAATCCCCATCCCTCCTGAGTCCATTTTGAAGGTACCTGCAGGAATTCCTGATCTGGTGGGAATGAACAGGATGTGTTTAGTGTCCCTTCCAACCCAAACCATGCCACGATGCAGTGATTCTGGAGTGGCCCTGGAGGGGGGTGGTTTCCCTCTGCGCTGTCTCCCCATCTGATTGTTTATCAGTGATGTTTATTAACAGTGATGTTTATTAACAGTGATGTTTATTTTCCTCACAACGCCCCGGCTGCTCTGAGTGACACACTCCCAACCTCTGCTGCGTGTCCTGGGGTAGCAGGAGCAGCTCTGGCTGCTGAAATCCATTGATTTCCCAGTGCTGTGTCTCACCAAGGTCACCCCTTTTGCCTTCCTCTGGCAGTGGACATACCAGGCCATGGTCCACGAGCTGCTGGGCATCAACAACAACCGCATCGACCTGTCCCGGGTGCCGGGGATCAGCAAGGACCTGCGGGAGGTCGTCCTGTCAGCTGAGAACGACGAGTTCTACGCCAACGTGGGTGTCCCAGGGGGGCTTCACCTGCACCCACGTCTGGGGGTTTGCCACAGGAAAGGAGCTTCTCCACGAGTTTGAGCCTCAGGGTGGGGATGTGGCATTTGTGATCGTCGGTGTGCGGCAGCAGGGATGTCTGATGTCAGATGATGTCGTAGAAAATGTGTTTGTAGTTTGGTTTCCAGCCTTGCTGCAGGTTTTGGGGGATGGAGGCACCTTCTCCCAGCTGCTCAAGGCTCTTCTTTGGTCAGGACTCTCTCAAGTGAGTTTCCTTCTGCTTCCCATCTTGTCCCACACAGAACATGTACCTGAACTTCGCTGAGATTGGCACCAACATCAAGAACCTGATGGAGGATTTCCAGAGGAGGAAGCCAAAGGAGCAGCAGAAGCTGGAGTCCATAGCAGATATGAAGGTATGGACAAAGTCCATTCCAGCTGTGTCCCATCCTTTAATGTTAGCAGTAAATAAAAAGTACATCTCTCCCAGAAATCTCCTGGTAATGAGAGAAATCCTGAGGGCTCCTGGGATCAAGGTGTCTGATCCTCTGCACCCCTGCAGAGAACTGCTGGGAATTTGTACAGTTTAGAGCTGGCTGCACCCATCTTCTACTATCTCCTGCTTTTCCCTGGAAGCACCCAGTGCCTCAGTTTCCCATCACAGGCCTTTGTGGAGAACTACCCTCAGTTCAAGAAGATGTCAGGCACAGTGTCCAAGCACGTGACAGTGGTGGGGGAGCTGTCCCGGCTCGTGGCGGAGCGGAACCTGCTGGAGGTGTCAGAGGTGGAGCAGGAGCTGGCCTGCCAGAGTGACCATTCCAGTGCCCTCCAGGTACTCATCTTGGGGGGGTTTCAGCCCATCACTCCCTTGGGAGTGGGGATTTGATGCTGGGAGGCAGTGGGAGCTGTGTGTGGATGCCCTGTGGGGAGGGACACTGCCTGTGGAATTGCTCCTCGGTGCTGAGCTCAGATGGGAATGAGTCATCCTTAATAACTGGCTTGAGAAGCATCTTTACAAATCCTGTCCTTACATCCCACACTCCAGCATTCTTTCATTATATTCAGCCAGTTGGTTTCTGGCAGACACCAGGATAAAACAACCTCAGATGCTGTGCAGGAGCTGATGTGAGCTCCTTGCCAGGCAGGAGAAGAGCTGGAATCCATGGAATTGTCTTTAGCTCTTTTTTTAAGAAAAGCCACTGGAAAGAGTCTTAGATCCAAGATTTCTTTGGCAGAGAGGCCTGGAGAAGCTGGAGGGAGGCTCTGTGACAGCTGAGTGTGGCCCCTTGTGCTGTGAGCAGAGTCAGTGGTGATGGATTTGGGCTGGTGTTCAACAGCAGCTTTGGGATGGGGCTGGCTCAGAGCAGGCTTGGAGCAGCCACTCACTTCTGAGAAATGATTCCTTGGTTTTCAGTAGTGGAGAGGGATTCCCAACACGTAACAGACCCTTGCATGGCTCTGGGGAAAGAGAGGGACTGGGAAATGAGGAAAAGCCTCTCCAGCAGGTTTGAGATCAGTTTCTTCCCCACCTCTGTGACTCTGAACTGCAGGTGGGGGCTGGGGGGATGACACTGGCCTGTCCCCAGAGGTGGAATGTGCTCCCATGCCCTGGGCTGATGCTTCCCTCTGGACTCAGTGAGTGTAGGGATGGGATTCCATAGCTGGTGTCTGGCAGGATTTACATGGCTGAGTATGGAACTGGGAATGCAGCCAGAAATGTGTTTGCTGGAAGCAGCCTCTGAGGTCCTCACGCTGTATCACTGTCTCCAGCTCAGGTTGTTGCAGTTTAAAAGTCAAATATTCCCAGTCTGCTCCCTCCCTGCTCCGTGAGCCATGATTTTTGATGGAATATACACAGCACAGAGCTGGTGCCAGGTGAATCCTGGTGTTCCTGGGGGTCACCTTGGTCCTGCTCTACACAAACAGCGTTTCTGCAGTTTTAGAGCAGAAATGCTGCCTCAGTTTCCTTCCAGTCCTGTGCCTGAAGAGCCCTGTTGTTCTTCTGGCAGCTGAGGCCACTGGGAGATATTGCAGCAGCTTGGAAGTAAATGGAAACCCCTGCAGGTGGGATCTTTGTCCCTGCTGCAGCTCCCAATGGCAGCAAGAAGGGCAAGGCCACGGGACAAGAACAGCAGCCAGAGCCTGGAATAAGGGTGGAATTGTTCTCCCCTGATGTCACTTCAGGGATTGTTGGATCTCTGGTGGACTTGCCCCTCCCCAGTCTGGGACATTTGGGTTCTTCCTCCCCTGGGCTCTCATTAACCCTGACACAGAGCATGAATGGAGGGTTGGAATCCCAGCTCCTGCCGTGGACAATGGGTTTTCTGTTCTCTGCTTCCTGCTGGTCCTGGCACTGCCAGCACAGGAACCTCCCTGGGGCTCTGGCTCTCCCCTCACAGGTGAATTCCTGACCTTGAGTGGTGAAATTCCTCTTGATCCTCCTCACAGCCAGGATTTTATGCTGTGTTTTTAGTCAGCATCAGTTAAATAGATGCCAGCAAACATCTGGGCCGGGGTGGTGAATCCAGCAGCAGGTCAGGAGTGATAACAGATCCCTGCTCTTCCCTGCAGCTGGGATCTCTTTTTCCATGCTTTAATTCCTTCCCTCCTGTTCTTACAAACGTGCAGTTTATTCTTCCACATCTCAATGAGATTACTGAGACTTTGATGCCTCTGCCTTGCACCTTCCAAAAAGGAAATGGAGGTGGGGGGATTGCCTGAGGGGTTTTTGCAGCCAGTATAGAGGTGGAACCTTTGGGGTAGCTCTGCTCCAGCTGGAAAGATCCAGGCAGAGCTTGGAGGTGTCAGTGCCTCCTGCAGCACCACAAGGGGCTCAGGACCCATCAGAGATGAATTATGAATTCCCAGTTCCACGGAAAGACCCAAAACCAACTTGTACTCCACTAAATCCTCCTGTGAAACACCCGAGGAGCCGAGCTGTGGGGTTTATACCACAACTGGATCCTCCTGCATTTCCCCTGTGGCAGTGTTGTTGCTGGGCAGTGAAACCAGTCTGATAAGTGATAAGTGACCGATAAATGACCGATGAGACAGTGACAGCAATGAAGGCACTGCCGGGTGTCCCTGAGCAGTGTGGTGTGTCCCTGAGCAGTGCCGGCTGTCCCGGGGCAGTGCCCTGAGCAGTCCGGCTGTCCCTGAGCCGTGCCGGGTGTCCCGGGGCAGTGCCGGCTGTCCCGGGGCAGTGCCCTGAGCAGTGCTGGGTGTCCCTGAGCAGTCCGGGTGTCCCTGAGCAGTCCGGGTGTCCCGCAGAGCGTGCGGCGGCTGCTGCAGAGCCCGCGGCTGTCGGAGCTGGACGCGGCCCGGCTGGTGATGCTCTACGCGCTGCGCTACGAGCGCCACGCCAGCAGCGGCCTCCCGGCGCTCCTGGAGGAGCTGCGCGGCCGCGGAGGCAGCGACAGGTACCGCAAGGTAACCCCGGGGAGGGGCAGGACGGGGGGCAGGTACTGCCAGGTAACCCCGAGGAGGGGCAGGACAGGGGGCAGGTACTGCCAGGTAACCCCGGGGAGGGGCAGGTACCTCAGGGTAACCCCGAGGTGGGGCAGGACGGGGGGCAGGTATTGTGGGGTAGCCCCGGGGCAGGGCAGGTACCTCAGGGTAACCCCGGGGCGGGGCAGGACGGGGGGCAGGTGCCACCAGGTAACCCCGGGGTGGGGCAGGACGGGGGGCAGGTGCCACCAGGTAACCCCGGGGTGGGGCAGGACGGGGGGCAGGCACCCCCATGTCCCACAGGATGGGGGAATCGCTGCTGTTCGGGGTGAAACCCTCCTGCTCCGGGTCAGCCCAGGTTTGTTGCACAGAGCTCGGGTGGGACCTGTGGGTGTGGCTTTAAAAGGTGTTTTAAGTAAGTGACTCGAATTCCATTTCCTAAATCAGTGAAATGAGGCAGAATGACTCCAGCAGGTTTGGGGTGGAAGTCCAATCTTGCAGTTCAGGAATTAGTGAATAGGGGTTGGACTCCAGAGGGCCCTTCCACTCCTGACTAGTCTGTGATTCCGAGATATTGTGAAGGATTTAATAAAGAAGGGATGGCAGGAGCCTGCTGGGAGGGGAGTATGGCACCTGCATGGGCCTGGGATGTGCTTGCTCTCTCCTTTTCCTCGCCCACTTTCCCCAGCTCCCGCAGCACAGGCAGTGGCTGCAGCGAGGGGCTGGCAGGGAGGGAACAGGCAGCAGTGCCAGGAGCAGCTGGGGAGGAGGTGGAGGAGAGGGATGATGTCAGCTCGTGTGGAGGAGCTGATGTCGCTGCTGCAGGCGATGGAGATGAAGCTTCTCCTCAGGCAGGAGGGTCGGGGTGGGCTGGGGGGCATGGGGGTGCTGCTGCTCTGCCCCCTCGCCTCCGGGTGCGGTTCCATTGGGATCCTCTCCGTGGCTCCTTGTCCTTGTTCCACACCTCCATGAGGTGTCCCCACCACAGCCTGGGAGGGGTGCCAGGCTGATGGGGCTCTGCCCTCTCCCTGCACAGCTGGTGTCTGCCGTGGTGGAGTACGGAGGGAAGCGCGTCCGAGGCAGTGACCTGTTCAGCCCCAAGGATGCCGTGGCCATCACCAAGCAGTTCCTCAAAGGCCTGAAGGTACTGAGATGTCTTGGGGAAATGGGGACAGACTCAAAACTGCAGCCCAGAGGAGCAGGGCTTGTTGGCTCAGCAGCTTCAGTGCCTGATTCCACTGAGAACAACAGCAGTGAGCTGCTGGAGAGCTTCTCAATCCTAAATTCAGGGGTGGCACTTGCTGTGCCTCTGCTGATCCTCCTTCCTTGCTGCCACTTCCTAAAGAGCTTCTCTCTGGCCACAGGGCATTGAGAATGTGTACACCCAGCACCAGCCCCTGCTCCAGGAAACCCTGGACCAGCTCATCAAGGGAAAGCTCAAGGACAGCCAGTACCCCTACCTGGGCCCCAACACACTCCGGGACAGGTAAGTGCACTGGGACATCCCTGCTGTCCCCAACATTGTCCCCACAGCGGGGTGGGACTGATGGTGAACAGAGCTGGGGCTTGGCACAGAAATCTCTTGATTGTAGAGAGATTTCTCTTGTATCCCCAAGAATGTTCCCTGGAGGAGGTTCCCAGGACTGGGCTATGTCTCATCCTGGCTTGCCTTGCTGGCTTGGATGTGCCATTCCTGTTGGGTGGCTCAGGTGAAGGATGAAGCCCTCGCTCCTCTGTGGTGGTGTTTGGGGACTGCCAAAAACAGTCCAGCTGCAGCTGCCTGAGCCAGTCCTGTTCCCAATGGAAGTGGGATCCTGCTGGAGAGGGTCATGCAGACCTAACCCTGAGGAGACAGGCTTTGGGTGCTTAGTGGTGACACAGATCATGTTGGGAAAGCGCTGATCTCACCTTTTTCATGAGTTTTCCCTGCTTTCCCACATCCCTTGGGCAGAGTGGAAGTGGTGTGGGGATCCATGGAGATCTAGTGGCCAACATTCTCCCTCTCTGCCTGTGTCCCAGCCAGGCAGGAGCAGCTTTGCTCTGGGTCATGCTGTTCATGCAGTGATCCAAGAAAGAAATCCCTGGTGTTGTTCATTCCAAGGGATTGGGAGGGTGGTTACAGGAGAAGGAAGGAGCAGCTCACTGGAAAGCAGGATGTGCACAGCAACCTGAGTTTGTGTTGGGATGGAGGAAGGCTCCATCCTTTCTCCCCGTCCTCTTGCTTGGCTTCTCTCCACCATCCCACATTTCCCTGCTGGCTGGGAAATGTCCCCTCAGGTGAGAACTGAGGCACAAATCCTGGCAGTTCCTGCCCAGTCACTGAGCCTGGGAGCTCCCAGGCAGCGCCGTGTCCTCGCCTGACTCCACAATCGATCCTGATTTCCCAGCCCCAGCAGATCATGCATTAAACATGGCACGTGGATCCACAGGGGTCGGGGTGGAGCTGCTGGAGGCTGCTCAGGGCTGTGGGTCAAAGTTCAGGAGAGGTTTTGGGGTTGTTTTCAGCACTGAGCCCAGCACATCACAGGGATGAGGGAGGGTCTAGAGAAGGCACCCTCAGGATCATGGATCCCTGCCTCCAAGGTGCAGGACTTACCCTTGGCTTTGTCTGATCCCAACTCAATTATTTGTGGCTGCTCCGTCCCAGAAAATATCCAAGGCCAGGACTTGGATCCACCTGATGTGCCAGGTGTCCCTGAGAGATGAGCTTTTAGATCCCTTCAAGCCAAACCATTCCATGATTTGTGCCTTCATCCCAGGCCTCAGGACATTATTGTGTTCCTCATTGGAGGGGCCACCTACGAGGAGGCTCTGGCTGTGTTCAACCTGAACCGCTCCAACCCCGGCGTCCGCATCGTCCTGGGTGGGACCACCATCCACAACACCAGGAGGTAAAATCCACCCCTCTGCACAGCCTGCCTGTGGAACTGCTGCCACAGCAGGAGTTTGGGATGCCTGGGGGATCCCCACGTGGAAATGGGTGTCAGTGATCCAGACCCAGCTCTACACATGGTGGCTCAGGGAGGTTTAACTTGAATTTCCATGAGTTCAAGGGCAGGCAAGTGGAGTTTTCCACGGCGTTTTTCTAGTTTATAACACTGGGAAGCCATGGGAATTCAGCACTGAATGAACCTGCAGCTGCTTTACTAAAGGTGGGCAAAGATCTCTGTCAGTATGGAATTCCCAGTGGGAAATGTCTGGTTTATAAATGCAAATAACTTTTCCTGAACCCCAAATTACTCACTTTGGGGACAGGAAAGAATTGAGGCCACAATGGGAATTGCTTCCCATCAGCACAGCTTGCTGCTGGCCAGGCAGGAGAGCAGGAATTCTTTCCAGATTCCCAGTGCTCAGTGTGGGATGGTGGGAAAATCCTGAGCTGCTGCTGCTGCAGCTCAGGATCTGCAGCTCCATCATTGCATCTGCTTGGATTGGTGCTGCCAGGAGCCACCCTGGCTGGTTTGGGCTCTGCTGCTGTGCAGTCCCTGAATTATTTACAGAAAAGCTGGGATTCTGTATCCAAATTTGCATTTCAAAGAATGAATTGGGGGGAGGAAAAAAAAAAAAAAAAAAGGGAAAATAAAAGGAAAGGCTGGATGTGGCCAGGTCCTGCCTGGGGAGGACAGCAAAGGGCCTGTTCTGCAACAGCCCTGTCCCAAATGATCCATTTTCTCTTGGATAAGGTTTCCCTGAGGATGGAAGGACAATAAAACTGTCTCCTGTCTGCTGTTATCCACAATTCCAGCACAGTGCCCTAGGATCAGGGATATCTCAGCACATCCACGAGGTGTCTGATACGAGGAAAGCCAGGTTTTAGTGTGTCCCAACCCCTCACATAATCCATGGCCTTGCTGATTCCCGTGGGATTAGGGCAGATCTGTCACCAGAAACAAGGGGATTTGGGTGTTAATGCCTGTAAGCACCTAATCCTGCTCCCATTGTTCTTACTCCCTGCTGGAACTGGGACCAACATCTGTGGGCCCAGAGGGGTGGCCCAAAGGATGGAGAATCCGCTCTGCTCCCGGGGATTCCAGAGCAATTCCGCAGGCTTTGGAGGAGAAAGGGTTACAAAGGATCAATAATCGGATAAAAAAGGGTTGCCAGGAACATCTGGTGCTGGGGCTGACTCATCCTGGGCAGGTTGAGATCAACCTGCTGGGACTAATCCCAGCATGTGGGGCCTGACCCAGTTACCCAGTTACGGCCACGCTGGTGGCACCGCATCCTCCTGGGGACCCTCCTGGCTGCACAAGGCTCATTTCTCCTGGGACTTCCATCTCCTGGGGACCCTCCTGACTGCACAAGGCTCATTTCTCCTGGGACTTCCATCTCCAGGCCCTGGCTGGGTGGAGCAGCTGTGGAAGTACCTGCAGATGCCTGTGCTGGGTTTTTACCTGTTCCTGCAGGATCCCCTCAGCAGGGGGGGTTTTGTGCTGTGGTGCAGCTCATCCCTGGGGGCCAGGTGGGAGTTTGGCTCCTGCCTCCAGTCACTCCAGACTGGGAATGTGCTCAGAGAGGCAGTGCCAAGGGACCCTGAGGTGTCATTGGTCACAGGCACAACCTGCTCCAGACAGCACAGAACCCCTAAAAACACCAGTCATTCCCTGCCAGAGCTCAGTTCTGCCTGGTTCTAGTGCCTAAAAATAACCTGGAGGAGGGAGAGCTCAGGCTGGAACACAAAGCCAGGTGCCAGAGCTGGTGCCACCGTGGGCAGTGCCCTGGCTGTGCCCCCTCCCAGCTGTGTCTGAGGGGGCTCAGAGCTGGGTGTTGCTGCAGGGTTTTGCAGATTTGAGGGTTCTATTATTTTTCAAGCCCTTCAAGATTCACAACCTGAGCTGCTCCAGCCCCAGTTTAGGAGATTCCCATTTCTGTAGGATTTGTGGCATATCGTGGTTTGTGTTTCTTTATCTTTTGGGGTGTAGGATTTGTGGCATATCGTGGTTTGTGTTTATCTTTTGGGGCATTTTTTGAAGCATTGCTGTTGAGATCACCTGATCAGCACACTGAGGGATGAGTCAGCCTGGGAATGGCCGTGGTGTCTCACTGCCAGAGGAACCATCCTCAGGCAGCATCCTTCCAGCTGGGAGCATTCCTGCCTTTGGGAGCTGCTCCCAGCCATGGGTGGGTGATGCCAGCAGGCCTGAGGCTTGTGCTGGGCACACTCACAGCCCCTCAGGCCTTTGACACCTCTGGGACAAGTGTCAGGGTGCCATGAGCCCCTCTGTCCCCGTTCCATGACCTGAACCTGTCCCAGCAGCTTCCTGGAGGAGGTCACAGCCGCAGGATTCCGCGGTCGAAGCACTGACAGCTCCCAGGTCCCACCAAGGTCCAGCAGCCGACGGTGAATCCTGAAGGAATGAAAGGAATGAATACTTTTTTTTTGCACATTCAGAGCAGGATGTTCCTGCCCTGCAGCTGGAGCTTCCCTTCCACACCCAGCACGGCAGCGAATGCTGGAGCTGGCACTGGCCCAACAGCAAGGATGTGCCCCCACTGCAGCTCCTCATTGCCCCCTCACAAACAGCTCCAGGACTGGGATGGAGAGCGTGAGGAGAGCCTGGGAAAGCCCTTGAATCCCTGCAGCTCCTGGCTCTTTACTGGATGAGTCCCATGAGGAGCCCAGCAGAGCTGCTCCATGCAGGGGGAGCAGCTGTGGGGGTGTGGCTGGTGGGCACAGGAGCCCTTTGCTGTTGTCTGTATATGTTGAATCCTATTAAATCCCCCACTTTGGCTGAATGTCTCCTAGATGATTCCCACTTTCCCTTTCCCAAGGCCACAAGGTGCAGTTACAGCCTGAGCCTGCACAGGAGCTTTTGCTCCCCTCCAGGACCACACCAAGGAACGTGCAACTGTGTTTCCAGCTCTGCTCCCTGGCCTCTAATCAGCATTTGATTGGGAATTAACAAGCCAGATCAAATGAAATGAGCTCCTAAATCCCTGGGAATTATCTTGGCATCACAACTAAGTCCTGTTGATGTGGGAGAGAGCAAAGCCCTGCAGGGAGGAGGGGACCTGGCCCTGGGGGTCCTGGGCAGCAATTTGGGGAAGGGAGGGGAGAACACAGCCTGTGCTGTGGGGGGTTCTCTGCCCACAGCCAGGGGTGGAACTGGGTGGGCACCTGTACGGTGAATTTTTGGTGAATTTTGGGTGGTTGGGACAGGAGAAGCACAAGAATTCCCCCTTAGAGGTGACTCAGGTGTCTGACAGCCTGAGACCCCAGCAGAGGGGAGCTGAGTCACAGCTGTCAGAGGATACTGGGTAGCCCCCTGCCCCATCCACTCCTCCAGCAGCCCCTTCCCCAGACACCAGTGATGTAACTGTTGTCAGAGGCACAGAAAAGCATGTGTCCTAATTAAACTCCACTCACCTTCCAGGCAGCAGCTTCACACTTGATATCCAGAGGCAAAAAGCTGTGTGGGGGTTGTTAAATACATAAATAAACCGAGAGTTTGCTGATCTGCTCTGCAAGAAGAGGCGACTTTGGCAACTGTTTGTTATGGATCAGCTCAAGGAGCAGCTACAGCTGCCAGGGGGAGCAAAGGGAGAGACAGAAACACACCTTGGAGAGGCTTTTCATTCTGCCCACAGGGATGGGGATGAGAGGCTGCACTGACCATGTCACCTGTCCCACAGGAGCAGCCCCCAGGGTCAGCCTCACTGCTGGAAGAGCAGCCTCCTGTTCCTGGTGCAGAAATGGGAGATGGGGTCCCTCCTGTCTCCTTCCTTCCCTGTCAATTGTTGATGTTTCCAGCTCTGAATCATTGGTCACATCCTTCACAGCGTGACTCACTGTCGGAACAGCCTGAGGATTCCAACTGCAGCTGAATTGCTGCTCCCGGGGCTGGGGAGGTGTGTGCAGGTGTGTTACCTGCTGTGCTCTCAGGGCAACTTCCCTGGCACCAGAGGACGTTTGGGAAGAGCGTGGGCCCTGCATCTAAAGGGCACGACAGAGCTGTCCTGCTGCCAGCAGCACTGAGCCATCTGGTATTGGCCAGCAGCCGCTGCTCGGCAGGCCCTGGCCACCAAGAACAGGATGGGAGGAAGGACAAGTCCAGTTGGAAGGCAAAATGTCATTAAAGAAACTGGCAGGTTCTGTGGTGTCCCGGGGATACACCGGGGGCCCTGGGCAGCCAGTGTGGTTCATCTGTCCCTCTGCCATCAGCCCTGCCTGGACCAAGCTTTGGGGTGAAAGGGGAAACTGAGGCACGCAGATGGCAAATCCTGGTCCTGAGCCCCATGGAGTTCAGGACTGCACAGGATGAAAGGGAACCCCTGGATTTGGTGTAGAGAGTGATTTGTGTCTGTCCCGGGTACTCTCAGGTATGCAGTGCATCCTCAGCTCATGGCAAAAATGTCAATGCTCAGAATGGGATACAAACACTCACAGAAGCTCTGGAAATACTCCATAATCCAAGTGCATCCCTAGGACTCTGCGTGCATTCATTCCAGAGTAGTGGGGTGAAACTACAGCTCGAAATCAGGGGTGGGGGATGTTGTCCAGGGATGGGATGGACGCTGTCATTGGAAAGCTGATCCTCTGATGGATCAATGTATTTCTTGCAGGACATGAAGGAGATAGACAAAAAAAGCCAAAAAAGGGCATGTTTTAGGAATGAGTGTCTCCTAATTTCTGGAAGCTCTGAATCCACCTGAATCCTGGCTGTCAGACCCTCCGTGCTGGAAGCAACCCCTTCCTCCAGCCCCCTCCCCAAGAAATCTCCCAACTCCCCTCTCCAGAGTGATTTTTTCCCCCCACTTCCCAACACCTTTAGGACCCAAAACCCTCCCAAATACTTTTCCCTCTCCTAGGAACTCTCCCGCTGACCCACACCAGCGGCAGTGCCCCCTCCGCGGCACACCAACCGAGGCACCGCCCGCCCCTCTCCCGCTGCCCCGCGGCCCCTCTGGAGTCGGGAACAAAGAAGAAAAACCCTCGTGGGCTGCGATTCGCCCCGCGCCGCGAACCCCGACGTCACGGGCGCACGGCTATAGATGGAGCTCGGGAGCCCGGCGCAGCCCCCCGAGCTGCGGGATGGTGGCGGCGGGGGGGGACGCGGCGGCGGCGGCGCTGCCGATGGCTCAGAGCGCCGGGCCGGGCGCCGTGTAACGGGAGAGGGCCCTGAGCCGCGCATCGCGGGTGTTCTCTCCCCGCGGGAGCCCCCTCTGCGACCCCCGCCCCAAATCGCCTCGGAGAGCGCACCGGGGAACGATGAAAAAAAATAATTCTGCGAAAAGGGTGAGTGGAGAATTGGGGTTTTTTTTAATTTTTTTTCTTGCCGGGGGTAAGGTAAGGTGAGGGAGGCTCCTGGGTGTTTTGGGGAAGGGGGGATTGTCTCGCCGGGGCCGGGCGTTCGCTTCGCCTCTGCTCCCCCCGCAGAAAGCGCACAGACCCCCAGGGAGATCCAAAGGGACCCGAACCCTGCTCCCGGCCCCGCTGCTGCCCCTCGCAGCCACACACACTGGGTGATGCAGGCAGGCCGTTTTCATCTTGGAACACAAGGAAACGATAAAATCCGGAGGCACCATCAATCCAATCCGTCGCTCTTTGCCGTGTTGGGTGCTGCACCCAGCGATCGCTGCCTACCGAGACACCTCCGATACAAACCGCCCATAAGATCTCACCTCTTGGATTAATTGCTCGTTTTTTAAAAAAGCTCCAAAATGCCATTTTCACCGCGGTATAAAACCCCAGCTGGTTTACATTCCGCCCATCCCCCTCCTGTTCCCCTTTCCATGGGTAAATGCCCGTTGGATGAGGCGATGGAGACGCCGGCCTGGCTTATATAACCACGGAGGGAACCCTGCCCGCTCCTCGCGGCGTCCTCCCGATGCTGCTGCTGTCGCTTCGTGACAAAAATCCCCGTGGAGTGACCCCGGGAAAAGGACTCGGTCCCGGCGTCGGCGGAGAGAGGGGCCGGAGGGAGGGGGAGACAAAAGTTGGGCAAAGAGAGAAGGGGGGGAGAAAAGGAGTGTAAAACCAAGAATAATCGCGTTTTCGCCCATTTTCTTCCCTCTCGCTTTGTGTTAGGGGAACCAGGATGGAAACCAGCAACCTGCGCAACCGGAGAAGGTCGGCTGGGTGCGGAAATTTTGCGGGAAAGGCATTTTTAGGGAAATCTGGAAAAACCGTTATGTGGTTCTGAAGGGAGATCAGCTTTACATCTCGGAGAAGGAGGTAGGATCGCTTTCAGTTTCCTTCCCCATCCCCCCGTTCCTCTCTTTGCATATGAAAGGCGCAGCCCCGGCCCTGCCCAGCGCCAGCCGGGCCCGGGAGGTTCCTCGGGGGCTTCTTGTCCCCGGGCTGGCGCCGGCGGGACCCTCTGACAGCGATTCTCCCAGGCGGATCTGCTGGGAGACATTTTCCCGGCGTGGAGACACGAAAGGATTCACTTAGAGAGAGTTGAGCCCTCAAAGCTCTTCGCGCCGGCAATGCCGGCTCCTTTCTGTGCCTGTCCTCCGTCCTTGAGCCCAGCACTGCCTTGGTTGGAAAGAACTCCGCTCTCCCGACCGCAGTCGAGCCCTTTACAAGTCGGTCTGTCGCATTTTTCACCCCGGATCCACACCCTGGTGCCCCTCCGCTGCCCCCCGTCTCCGTGCTGGGCTTTGGGGTTTAACGCGCTGCTGACATTGGAGGTAATCGGATGTGACTCGTCAGGCTGAGCCCGCACCTGGCTGTCCTTGCACGGCCCCCCCGTGCTTTTTGTCTCCATAAATCCATCGGGAGAACTCCCCAGGCCAGAGCCTTCCTCCCTCCGTCCCCTGTGACATGCCAGAGCTGCAGAGTGGTGCCCACGGCAGGCATGGGGGCTGCTCCAGCTCGGGGAATTTGGGATAAAATCCTGGTCTCTCTGGGTTTCCCCCCTCAGACCGTGTTGGGATGCCTGGCCTGGCTCTGTCAGCACCTGGAGAGTGGAAGGGATAATTTGATTTAAGCCTAGTTGAGCCATGGACGTGGCACAGGCAGAGGGTCAGGGCTTGTTAAAACAGAGAAACGGCCTAAAAAAATTGGACTGAGTGCCCAGGTCGTGCTGAGCTGCTTGCTGGCATTCCAGAGCGTGCTCCATCAACCTCCTGGCTGCTCCAGAGGCAAACACAGGAACAGGCAAGAGATATCCAGGTAGCTACAGACCAAATCCAGGTGTGCTGCGAGCCCAAGACAGGGATGAGGCTGGAGGAGCCTGCTCTGAACAAGCAGCTCTTGTGTTTGTGTTTCAAAGGGGGAAAACCTCACAGCTGGGCCTGAGGAGGCCCCCGGGACCATAAATAACCTGCAGCAGGCACTGCTGAGGCTTTATATGGAAGAATGTGTGGCCAGCAGAGATGACATCTGCTGCTGGTGGGTGCTGAGGTGACTCTGTGCTGGCCATGGAGGTGACACGTGCTGCTGGTGTGCGCCGAGAGGTGACTCTGCCATCCTGGGGGGGGGGTCTCATTTTGGGGAACCCCTCGGGGTTCCTGGGGGTGTCCCAAGACTTCCAGCTCACAGGCTCTCAGGTGTGGGGCAGGTTTGATGCCAGTGGAGCAAAGGCAGGCCCATGTGTGGCTCCAGCTGCTGTTTCCTGGCAGCTCACCTCGGGCTCAGCAGCTGCTCCAGAGGTGGTTCTGCAGGTGAAGCCACATTCCCGGCCCTCCCCACCACCTCGGAGCACAAAGGGTTAAACCCCAAGGCTCCTGGAAGCTCCTCGGCTCTGCCATGCGCTCCTTAAATGAATTCAAACCAGACATTTATTTACTTTTGCCTGAATTTCTCCATCTGGGAAGCAGGGCAATGAATCCCATCTCCCCAGAGCACACGGGGACAGGGAATTGCCTGTTCCACACCAGGATCCCTTGGGAATTATGTTGGCTAGGGGCAGGTGTTGGTGAACTGCTCAGAGCTCAGCATGGGCTGAGGTCTGCAATGGGGAGATTTCCAAAATTCAGACAAACAAATTCCAATCAATTCCTCCTGGGAATCTGCGTGCTTTTCCAGTTGTCTGTGTGGGCTTGCAGGTCAGAGACCAGCCCTGATGGTTCCGTTTTGTCAGGAGAATTTGGGAATGCCCGATAGGAGCCTGGGCTTCTCCCTGGCAGAGCTGTCTGTAAGGAGAGGAAATGTAGTTTTTCAGCCCAGCTGATGGAAAATGCTAACAGGGTGTTTGAGTGCTGCCCTTTGAGAGCTGTGGGACTTGTCTGACACCTCCCAAAATGGGAGCTTGAGGCTCTGGCCGTGCTCACTCCGCTCCCCCGAGGCTGCTGAACTCGGTGAACTCACACCAAAACCCTTGGGTTATTCAGCCTTTGGTCATCAGCCAAAACCAGCTCTGTAGAGATGAGCCGCAGCGAGCTGAGCTCTGCTGAGCACACCACCACCTTCTTAACTCACTCTTGCATTCTTTCCCCTCGGTCCCTCCCCCTCCCGGCACATTTCTGGGAATTGTTCCCCGTTCCTGGCCCGGCTTTGTCGCCGCCTGAGCCGGGGAGCTGACACAGCCGGGCTCGGCACTTCCTCGCAGGAAGCCGGGGGCTGCCAGACAGCCCGAGCCCGGCTGTGTCAGCTCGGGGGACGAGGAAACGCTTCTCTTGAGCGTTCGCTTGTTTGCTACCAAAGGCATCGGCTCAATTAGCACAAGAGCACTCGAGGAGGTGCTGCTCCCCGGTTCCAGCTCGGCACAGCCGGCGAGGGGGCTGGGGGTGTGTTTGCATACTCGCTTCTCCAACGCAGCACAGTGGGATTTTGGGGAAGAAATTCCTCCCCGTGAGGGTGGGGAGGTCCTGGCACGGCTTGTCCAGAGAAGCTGTGGCTGTCCCATCACTGGAAGTGTGCAAGGCCAGGTTGGATGGGGCTTGGTGGAAGGTGTCCTTTAATGTCCCTCCAAACCCGTGTCATAATTCAGTGATTCTGAGGAGCCTGTGTGCCTGGTAGCCTTGGTGGTGACTCTTTGGGGAAGGGATTGAAGCAGCCACGTCCTGCCACCATCCCCTGATCAGCTAAGGGCAGCGACCTGGCCACGACAAGGACTGGGCAGTGCCAGTGTGCATCCCTGTCCCAGTGACAGCCTGGCCTCGGCCAGGTCTGCAGGCTGCTCTGTCCCCTGCTGAAGCAGAGCTTCTCAGCTGGAGGAACTGAAACTTTGGTCGTAGCCTGCAAGGGGAACCGTCTGTCCCAAAACTGCCCATGTTTGGGTATTTGGCTGTACAGAGAGTCTGGAGGTTTCTGGTTACAGCCTGAGCAACACTGTGACCCCTCCCCGAGTGTCCCATGGGTGCCTTACACTGAGTGTCTTGTGATTTTCTGTACCTTCCGCATTTTTCCGTGTCCCACTGCAGCAGGGAACTGCTGAAATCATCACCAAAAATCCCAGACTGGGGTGACTGAGCACCTGCCCTGCCCCTCTGTGCATGGTTTGGTCCCAAAACACAGCCCTGAGCCGGGTCCAGGAGATTCCGAGCCACTGCAGGTCACAGCTTGATGAGGAAATGCAAGCTCTCATCAGTGAGACACCCAAGGGCAGTTAATTAAACAGGTCAGAGACCCTCCCTCTGCCAGTGCTCCGCCACCAGCCTTCCTTTGGCAGCAGAGCTTTGGAAGCACAAACAGCCGTGACCCTCTGGAGAGGGGATTTGGGTGCTGGTGTTGTGACCCATTACATGCCCACAGCCCCCCACATCTCGGGGCACAGGGAGCGCTGGGTGCCCCTGGGGCCAGCCTGGGCGGGCAGCAGCTGCGGGGGAAGGAGGGGAAGGAGTGCAAGGAATGCAGCTCCTCTCCTCGGATCCCAGTGTCAGCTTGGCACAGGCACTGACACCCCGAGCAGAGCAGGGGCAGCTGCCAGGGGTGTGGGGCTGTGTGATCCCGTAGCTGCAGAGAAATGTTCCCTGCTGGAGGGATGGGGGATGCTTCTGATTCCTTTTCCATGCCTCAGTTTCTCTTCCCTCACCTAGCCACAGGTAGGAGGTGCAGGGCAAGGTTGTTTTGCCTGCCTCAGATGGGTATAACTCAGCAGACAGCCAGGGCAGCCCCTGCTGGGATTGATTCACCTTAATCCTTCCAATCCTGAGCTCCCCACAGGGCACAGAGAGCAGGACCTGCCTGCTGGTGAGGCTCTGACATCCCTCAATTCTTAAGTCCTTGGCAGCTGTGGGGAAGGAAAGACTTGGAAACCTCTCAGCAGGGAATGGTTTTGCCAAAATCAACCACCAGCCTCTTGCTTCATCCCTTCCTACTGAGAACTGATACCAGAGGCTGCTTCCTCCTGGGCCCTGCCTGGGTCTGGGACACATCCAGCCAAATGCTCTTTGGAGAAGCCTGGAAGGTTTGATTTGGACAGCCCCTATCTCACTGAGAACATAGAGGAGGTGACACCCTGCAGGTTTGTCACCCACCTGTGACTGACACGGTGACTGGGATTTCAGCTCACATTTTTCATGCCCACATGGCTCCTCAGGGGCTGGTTTTGTCCTGTTTTCACAGAGAATGGGCAGCATTACTGTGCTCAGCCTCTCCTACCCCCGAGGCTGCTCTGTGCTGCCTCTCATGCCACCACCTCCCTCCTTTTGGCCTCAGGAGCTTCCCACAAAGGACAAAAGAGCTGGCAAGAGCCTCTGGAGTTGCCTTTCACCTTCCTGTCCAGTTTCTCTTTCTGCACACTGGATGCTCTGTTACATGAGCATGAGAGGGGGCTCAGGTGGCCATGCCCCCAGCGAGACACCCACTGTTCTTCCCGTGCCCCCTTGGCATTTCTGTGCCACCACAGCCACCTACTCCAGGCTGCTGCTGCCCCTCTTCCCCCAGGAATCCCAGCGTGGATGTTGCTTATTCCCAGTTTGAAGCATTTGATAAGGGGTCACACACAGGAGCAGGATCCCCTCAGCTGCCCCAGTGCAGTGTCAGAGCCCTGGTGTCATTCAGAGGTGTTTAAAGGACGAGCTGCTCCTGCAGGGTGTTTGCTGAACCAAAGGCACCTGCTCTGTCCTGCAGCCTCCCGGGGACACTCCTGCAGGCACGAGGTTCAGTTCCAGCTCTGTGAGCTCTGAGGAGGAAGGGGAGGGCTGGGGAAGCCCCAGTGACCCACATGAGCAAACATCTGGAGCAAGAGCTCTGCTCTCAGCCACAGAGCACAGCTGGGGGCTCGGAGGGGGATCAGCTTTTCCTGCTGCAAACGAGTGGGGCAGAATTCAGCTGAGATTCTTGGAAAGAGGTGGATTGTAGGATGGGAGTGGGAAGAGATCAAAGCCCATTAGCAGAGCGTGGGGAGGATGTGCAGCCAGACAGTCTCTGTTATCACACCCAGACACAGGGGATGTGTCACAAGAGGAACCAGCAGTGCCGGTGATTGTCCTGTGGATCCTGGGGACACAGTCAGGATGAAGGATAGAGGGGAGCTGTTGTCATCAGGCAGGGCCAGATGGTCAGTTTATCCATGCCACTGGTTAGGAAGCTGGTTTAGTCACCCTCTTTGATTAAATTCTGTGGAAGAATCATAGGGAGTTCCTTCAGTGCTTCCGAAAACTGTGGAGGAAATGTATGAAATGGGGTGGAGTCCCTTCAGGAAATCCAAGGGCTCAGACCTCACCACCATCTGCCTGCCCAGCACCCGAGTTACACACCCTGCAGCACTGCTGCAGCCTGGGATGACTGGCTGGAGTTGGATTAAGCAGATGGATGTAGCTCTGAGCCTGCTGCAGTGTCTGTAATGGACATGCAAACCCTAATTCCTTGTGTTTGCCACAGAGGAGCAGAGCTTCCCTGCTGTAGGAGTGGGATTGAGGATGATGCGTTGTAAGAGTGATGAAGAGGAAGCTTTGCCACTTCCCCTTTGCCCCAAGTGTCCCCAAGGGACAGCACCCTCCGGGGTCAGCATCCAGACCCCTGCCTGTCCCCCAGTGCAGCTGCAACCTCAGTGACCCTCTGCAAGCTCCATCTTTCATCTGAGCCTCTGTGACACTGATCCATCCCATGTACCTGTTACACTTCAGAGTGTTGGGGAACAGACCTGGAAAATGGGACATTTTATAAAGTGGTCACTCAAAAGGACTCTTTAAAGGACACTGAGAGCCTTGTGAAAGCCTGGCAGCCCCTGCTCTCTGGGGGTAGAAGAGGCAGGAGTTAACCTGGCAAAGTGAGATTTTCTTTGCTGTCTTTCTAAATATGCCCACTCATTCCAGAAGAGACAAGTCAAAACCCTCATGTTGAAATCCTGCTGCCTGGAGCATCAGAGTCTCTGTCTGACATCTGCAAAGCTCTAATTTTCTTGCTGTCTTGCAGGTAAAAGATGAAAAAAACGTACAGGAAATGTTTGATCTGAGTGACTACGAGAAATGTGAAGAACTCAGGAAGTCCAAAAGTAGAAGCAAAAAGAACCACAGCAAATTTACCCTTGCCCACTCCAGGCAGCCTGGAAACACGGTATGTGTGTGGAGCTTGCCCAGATGCAGCCAGCCCAAAAGCCACTGGCTCCAGGGGTGGGCAGGGATGTGGATGGTCCTGGGGGATGCAGGGAAGGGATGTAGGTGCTCCTGGGGTTTGCTGTGTGAGGAAAATAGGGCTGGAGGCTCAGCTCTGCTTTGCCTTTTCTGTAGAGGCCTCACACTGGCCAGGGCCTGTCTCTGTGTGAGTTCCAGCACTGACCTGACTTCCCTCTGTTTGCAGGCACCAAATCTGATCTTCCTGGCCGTGAGTCCAGAAGAAAAAGAGTCCTGGATTAACGCCCTCAACTCTGCAATCACACGTGCTAAAAACCGGATCTTGGACGAGGTGAGTGGGATTCACCCTGTGTCAGCCTGGGTGAAGGTTTGAGGCTGCTGGGGACAGCCCTGTCCTGGGGGCACATCCACACAAAGTGTCTCCAGCAGAGCTCCTCCCGCTTCTCAAGGGGAGTGTGAAAGTCCCAGTTACACAAAGCAGCTTCTGCCAGGAAAAATAACAGTGTAGCCCCGGTTCAGCCTCCTCCTGGGGACACGGGGTGTACTGGGAATGCCAGGTGGGCTGGCAGAGGCAGGTCAGGGTGAGCATTTCCACAGTTTCCTTCAGTGGGAAGGAGAACCTGCCTGGAACAAGCTGTGCCCTCGCCCCAGGGCTGACTCTCACATTAATGTTTCATGGCAACCCTTCCTCAGCTCAGACCTGTCTCAGATCTCCCATTCACACTCAGCTTCCCACAGCACCACGGCACTGCCAGGAGGCTCTTTCCTCTCCTGGATGGCAGCACAGAGCCTGAATGAAGGAAAACCCAAGGTCAGACTGTGGGAGAGGTTTTAGAGCAGGAGACAGCACAGCAAACACCAGGAGAGATGGCTTCCAGGACAGCCTGTCACAGGAGTCTTTGCAAACAGGTTCAGCTGTCAGGAATGGCTTGAGCAGATGTAATCCCACCACGGCACAGAGGGGAGAGACCAGGCAAACACTGGGTGGCTTCCAAGGCTGGACTCCCACACCCCATTCCCTGCCAGCCTCAGCTCCAGGAGCTGGGAATGGCTCCTGTTCCCTGCTCACAGGCTGTGTCACCCTGCAGGTCACCGTGGAAGAGGACAGTTTCCTTGCCCACCCGACGCGTGACAGAGCCAAGATCCAGCACTCCCGGCGCCCTCCCACGCGGGGTCACCTCATGGCTGTGGTAGGTACAAGCAACCCCAGACACCTGCTGGGGTGAAATTCCCCTGGAAGCGTTTCCATTTGGAAGTGGAGTTGTTGGAGCTCCATCCTGAACTGAAGAGTTGCCACGAGGACAGCTCGGGGTCGTCAGCTCTCATCCTGTGTTCTCGTGGGTCGCTGCACTGCGCAAACCTTGTGGCAAAGTCCATCCCCGGGCTCTGTCTCTGCGTGAGGGAGCATTCCCCCTCCCTCCCTGTAGTGTGTATCCGCAGTGCAGACACCCCTGGAAGCAGGGACAGCCATTCTGGTGCCAACTCGGCTCTGCTTTCTGCTCCTCCAGGCATCTACCTCAACCTCTGACGGAATGCTGACCCTCGACCTGATCCAGGAGGAAGACGCCTCTGCGGAGGATCACGGCACCTGCGAGGAGAGTTTCCGGGTGGATCTGGACAAGTCGGTGGCACACCTGACCGCGGGGCGACGCCGCTCGGATTCGGAGAACACCAAATCGTGCGAGAAGGGGCGGACAGGGAGCCTGCCCCGGCAGGACGCGACCTCGTGGGACAGAGCCGGCCAGCGCAAGGACTCCTTTGACAAAGGGACCATGTACACGCCGCAGGTCCCCAAAAAGCTGTCACACTCAGAAAAGAATAAATGTGCCTCCATGGAAGAAATCCTGTCCCGGCGGGACTCTTCCACACACCGGGCGGTGCTGAGGAAGGGGCTGGAGGCTCAGTTTGCCTCGGCGGAGCCGGAGCAGCTGTCCCGGATACAGGAACTGGTTGCACTGAAACTGGAAAAAACTCAGGAACTGCTGACAGAGGTGAAGGGCTACGGGGAAGGCAAGAGAAAGACCAAGGACTCCAACACCAGCACCACCATCACCACCACCTCTTCTTCCTCGTCATCTTCCAAGTCGGACTCTGAAAGGATCCTGCAGGAATCTGAGAGGCTGCTGGGGGAGGCTTCCTCCACCTGGAGCCAAGCCAAGAGGGTGCTGCAGGAGATCAAAGAGCTGAGGGACCTGTACAAACAGTTTGAGCTGCAGCAGTCAGACTCGAAGCCCAAACAGAGCTCACAGTTGCAGTTTAGGAAGAGCATGATGTGAAGGCAAGCCTTGGGATGGGAGGGAGGGACTGGGAAGGGCGGCCATCTGGTCTTTTTTTTTAATTATTATTATTATTTACAGTGTTCAAAAGAGTGAAAAGGTGCCTGTTCTCACCCAAATTTGCTTCTCAAAGCTTGGACCCTTCCTTTCCTCCATCGCATCCCCTGATGAATCAACCCAGTGTTCCAATAAATCAGTTGCAGTTTATACCTCCTTTGTAAGAGCTCCCTTTGCACTGCAGGCCCCAGCTCCTGTCATGCTCCAAGGACAGGAGCAAGTTCTGGTTCCTGGAAATGCCCATGTCTGCCTGGAGCATCCCATGGGGTGGAGCTGCACGAGCCCTGGTGTTGCTGCTCTCATGTCTGGGCTGTGCCCCAAATTCTCTTTCACTGGGACACTTGCTCTGTTCCCTCTCACAAATAAATGACATTAAAAGGTCAAAAAAAGGTGTCCATCCCCAGCGCTGCCTGCAAGTCCCCATCATCCAGGAACTCTCCTGAAGATGTGGGAAGTCCAGGCTGGTCTCCAGGCCATTGAGGCATTTGCTGGGTGTAGCTCTCAGAGCTCTGTCCTGGCACAGTCCCCTAGAAAACTTGGGGCTGGCAGCTGTTATTTTGGGGTGCACACAGAGCCCTCCAGAAGGGCAGCAGTGACAGAATTCATACCCACCCTGATCCTGAATGCTCACAGACCCCCCTGGCCCTGAGCAGTGGGAGGTAGCAGAGATGTGTCTTCCCTTCTGTGCAACCAGAGGATCAAAGCCTTGGATTTGACAGCCCACACAGGCAGCTGGGGGGGGTTGGGCTTTTCCATTCTAATTTCTCTTTTTTTTTTTTTTTCTACCTTTTCTTTGAGCTGAAAAGTCAGGGGGTGTGTGTGGGAGCCAGACACCACAAGCCAGTGGCAGTTTTGGGAGGTTTGCTTTGCTCTCTCAGGTGTCATAGTCAGCAGCAGGCTCTGCCCAAGATCTGAATCAGCCCTGCTGGAAGGAAAGCTGAGCCCAGAGCAGAGCTCAGATCATCAGCTCACAGGCTGGCTCAGCTTTCCCACCCACCAGCAGGACATGGCTGTGTCTCACAAGTTCACTCGTGGTAACATCCAACTGTTCCTTGTGTTTTAAAAGGAAACCTAATTCTCTTACCTACATGGCAAATAGTCCACAAAAATATTAAACCCGCAGAGTTACTTCCTGCTCCTGGTTAATGTTTTCTCTTTCCTCTCCTGGCTGCGATGACAAGATTTTTTTTAAATTAAAGGAAAAACAAAACCAAACCCCAAACCTTTCCCAACGAATTTGGCTTAACCAGACTCCAGTGATACTTCCAGGGATAACTTTCCACGTTGATGAACTGGATTGCTTCACAAAGTTGTTTTTTTTTCAAGGAACCACTGAACCACCATTGTGACCTGCATTCAGGTAGTGCCCAGTCCCACACCAGCAACTCTCCTTGGATTTTGGAATGCTCATTGCCATGCTGCTCTGAACAGAGGCCTCTGGAAGAGCCAGCACACCCTCTGGGAAGGTCTGAAAGGCCACCACAAGCAGCTGCTGGTGCAGCTGCCCCTGGCACACCTGAGCAGCCCTGCCCTGAAGCTCCTACAGGCAATTTTGGCGATCTTGCCTCTCTTCTCACCCCTCCCAGTTTCTTCCCCTCCGTTTCCCTGCTGCCTCCTGCCAGCCCCCTGCCCTCGGTGGCATTCCCAAAACCTCTGGCAGGGTGCGGGGAGCCCTAGGGAGCAGCAAAGCCAAGGGCAGCACAGACGTGGCTTTGTGCACCGCCCCCTGGCCGGTGGCTCTACCCATGCGGGAGTAACTCTGCACAAAGGGGCCGTGCTCTCCCAGCAGTGCAGCAGCCGTCTGCCGTGCCCAGAAAGGGCTGCTATTGTCCAGTCCGGCAATTATGTTGGGTCTGGAGACAAAACATTGCATCGTTACAGGAATACAGAGCGCCCTGGCCGGCCAGGGCACAGCAGACAAGTCTGATAACGGCCAAGAATTCTGCGTTCTGCCCAACTGTGCCTTGGAAAACACGTACAGAACGGGGAAAAGGGGGCTGGGAAGGGGATTTCCCGTTACACTACAGGGAGACGGGATTGGGACCGGATTCTTAAGATGTAGGCAAAGCGTCTCCTATAAAAATAGCTGCAATTTGCTCAGCACATGCTGAGGAGTGGGTAAGCGTGCTCTGCTCGTCAGCTGGCAGCGGCTGCGGAGCCTGCGCTCCCTGCCCGCTTCCAGCGCAGCCAATCCCCGCAGCGCTCCCGCTCCCAGCCAAATACGGACCGCGGGCCGAGGATCCCCGGCTGCAGCTGCACGCAGCAGCCCACCCACCCTCCCAGCCAAAGAGCCTTTTTTGGATTATTTTCTCCCTCTCTGCTTCAAAAGCTTTAAGCGAACCCCCTCCTCCCTCCGTCCGTCCCTCCCTCCCTCCTCCCTCCATCCTCTGCCTTTCTAAGGGAATTAACAGAGAGACACCTTAGGATGGAATTCTTGGGAAGAAATTCCTCCCTGGGAGGGTGGGGAGGCCCTGGCACAGGGTGCCCAGAGAAGCTGTGGTGGCCCTGTCCCTGGGAATGTCCAAGGCCAGGTTGGATAGGGCTTGGAGCAGTCTGAGGTAGTGAAGGTGTCCCTGCCCATGGTAGGGGTGGACTTGGATGAAAAGTCCTTCCCAAGACCCAAAGCATTGTGTGATTCCATGATTCTGTGAAACACTGGCACCCAACACCCTGGCAGGAGAGGGCTGACAACCCAACAAACCCCCACAAACCCTCAGACAGAGCTGGCCCACCCCAGAGAGTTCCTGCCCAAGGAACACATTTTGGGGTGCAGCCCCACAGATCAGCCCCGCGTGGCTGCCCTGAGTTTCACCCACTGCAGCTCTGGGGACAAAGGGAGCAGCTGCAGTGTCTCTGCAGTGCTCAGAGGCCTCTGGAAAGCAGGAGGTACCGATTAAGAGGCTTTTGGTGGCTTTAAATAGAATTTACACTTGGAGGCAACTTTCACACTGCTGGCGGGCGGCGGAACTCGGGGGTAAAGCAGAAATGGGTTCGTGCTGTTCCAGCAGCAGTGGGCTACTCTGCAGGCTGGAGTCACACCTAACAAAGCAGTTCACAGCACTATAATTGGGGTGGATAAAGTCCAGTTTCTTCACCAGTTTCCAACCTTGGAAAAAGCCCCTAGCCTCCCAAGTGAGCAGGAACACCAGTAACCCATGGCAGAGGGTTCTCAGGCTGAGGAGGGGGTGGATAAATGCAATTTTTCAACACAGCCAATGGCTCCTGCTGTGCAGAAGGATTTCTTGGAGTTACTGATGGAGAAAACTACGGAAATAGTTGCTTATTTTGTTATTCTCCAATAAAGCAAATGCTTTAAAAAGAGAAAGTAGGATTTGTGTGCAGAGGTGGAAGGTGGGAAGCTATAGACCCTCCAATATCCCAACTGAATAATATGTTCAGCATACCCTGAGAATAAATTCCATGGGATCCCAAGATATGTTCCATATCCATGGGATCCATGGGATCTCTGATATGTTATCAGAGCTGGGGGCATTCTTTCCTAGACATCTGTGTCAGCAGCTGTAGGTGAACACCTGGGGCTCCAGCAATGCCACTCACTCACACCCTGACCCTGTCCCTCGTCAGCTTTTACCCCCAGGGGACAATCAGTTTGGACTTTTGAAATAAAATGGGAAATGTGGTGCTTCCTACCTTGGAGTGCTGGAGGATTAAATCTTCTTCCAAGTCCCTAGAGAGGAAGAGACATAAAATAGTTTGACCCACATTCACAAGAATAATTATTGACTTAACAAGTTCCAAGTGGGTTTTCAAATTAAAGCTCAGCAAGAACAGACCCACTTCCCTAAAAAAAAAAAAAAAAAAGAAAAAAAAGAAATAAAAGGGGAGAATTCAGTGGTTTTGATACACCTGGGTGCAAAATGTATCCCTGGAATATGCACATGTGGAGATTTGTGTGTCTTCCCTCTCTTTAGAAAGGAATTCTTTGGTGAGATACACAGTTCAGTGCCTTGCATTTCTTTTCCCTAAATCAAATTTGAGCTGTCAGAGAGTTCCTCATCAGGCTCAGAGATGCCCACACTCCTCTCCCTGAGTGGCCAGAGGGGCTGGTTTGGCACTGGGGATGTTTGACATGACACCCAGTAAAGTGACACCACAGAAAAGATGAAAGGTGCAGCATTCCCTCCTGTTGGAAGTGTTTCCTGAGCCTGGCCCAGGAATATCAAATCTCTGCTTTCAGACTCTGTTGATTTGTTTGACTCTATAAAATGTCCTGAGGGACTGAAAACTACAGTGATTCTTCCACTTCCTTAATGTGCAATGTGTTTAAAAATTTGTTGCTCTGTTTTGACACAAATCAACGCAGCTCAGAGGCAAGAGAAGATTTTAACATCTTTCTGACACTTGGGAATGCTTGGCAGAGGCCAGACCAGCCAGAGTTCAAAGGGCAGAGCTCAGCCCCCTCCTGACACCAGTAGCTTGGGAGTTCTGCACTGAAATGGTGATTTCTCCTTCCAAACCCCTGCCCTGGGGCTGAGGGGCCTGTGGTTGGAATAAAGAGCCCATACATGTAGGACAGGAGGACAGAGGGAACCATTCAGAGCTGGAGGAATCTGTGCCTCACAGGCTGACACTGGGCAGCAGGCAAAGGTCTGGCATGGACTGGAATGAGCCAGTGGAGATGTGGACATCATTATTTCAAGGACTCTCAGCAATTGGGCTGAGTCATTAACGACTTTAAACTGAAAGAGAGGAGGTTTAGATGGGATTTTGGGAAGGAATTGTTCCCTGTGAGGGTGGGGAGGCCCTGGCACAGGGTGTCCAGAGAAGTTGTGGCTGCCCCTGGATCCCTGGAATTGTCCAAGGCCAGGCTGGATGGGGCTTGTGGGAGGTGTCCCTGCCCCATGGCAGAGGATGGAACAGGATGAAGAAGAGCTGAGAGCAAGGGATCAGTCTGGGCACCCAACGTGCCCCTGGCACTGCCCAGGGCTCTCCTGCACTCCATTAGTGCCAGCTGCCCTCAGGCCAGCGCTCCCCAGCTCCACTCACCAGGTGCCACTGAGGTTTGTGCTGCACCACAAGAAACTCCCTGGCTTTCTCCAGAGCAGCCTCCCTCTCTGTGCAGCCCAGAGTTTCTCCTCCCAGCCCACTTGCTGCTATATATAATCTGAGTGCTGTCTACCTTTCTGCAG